TGAAAACCACCTCCACCCCATACCAAGGCACTCACAAAGCCTGGCAGGCTGTGTCTCTCTCTTCACACAGGCCTCCCCTGCCAAGGTACCCTCCAGACCCCTCACTGCTCTGTGCTGTCCCAATAGGAGGCCTGGGTCACTTGGACCAGGGGAGCCTGCAATTGTGACTCTCAGCTCTATGCCCTCCCTATGCTATGAGTCAACTCACAGTTGGTCTGTGAAACTGAAAATGGGCCTGCTAGATATCAACCCTGAACCCAGGAACAGGGAACGGAGCTGCTAGCTAGCTGTGGTTATCCCACTACAGAAGACAGATCTGAGGCTGTACAAACCTCCTGATGGTTGCCTCTCCTCCTTTACCTTATGCCTGCCAGTGTCTATCAATTTACCTTCACATACACAGTAGAGGGGCTACAGGTGAAAATTTTCCTCAGATCCAACTCGAGAGAGTAATGTCACCTGGTTCTGTGAGGGGTGGTTCAAATGGACACCCACCTATACTACCCAAGCGACTAGCTGAGTTTTGTTTGGTTTTGGACAGGGTCTCACAACAAAACCTAGGCTGGCTATGAGCTCACAACCTTCCTCACGCACCAGCAAACAGCTCTTACGGACACACGCCATCCCACACCACAGTGCCCACTTCTCCCTGTGTTACCTCAGTTACCCTCGCCTGCCCTCACGTGGTAACTAAATGTGCACCAAGCTACTCACAGCTGCTTTACCTCTCTGGAACCACATGCAAGTCAATAAATCCTTAAAATAAGTGGTAAGAGTGCCCAAGGCCACTCCTTCACTAGCCTTGACATACCGATCCTTTCATCTTATTTCCAGGTAACTTTTAGCCCTTCTGAGTTCCTCAAGTGGCACCATCTATACTTTAACATTCCGAAGGATGGCATCCATAAATTTTCTCAGTCTAGCCTCAGAGGGTATAAGAGATGTTACGAAGTGGAGCCCTGCATAGACCACTCTAGAAAAACGCCAACTGTCAATGACCCTTTGGTTAAGCACATGCAGACTGGCCAGACACCCCATCACCCCACACTCCCCCCCCCGTGCCACCCTCCCACACCCAAAATCACTTTTCCAAAAGCCTGAGATCTCTCCAAGCAGCATCCACTAAGTTTGCACTTCATCACACACAGTTTTGGTAACAGCACAAGACCATTAATATTCCAATGTGCAGCTAGCAAAAATCAGGCTTCCTGGCTTAGAGCTGATTCACGATCCACTTCCAAAGGAATCAGGGAGAGCATGAGCTAGGACAGGGAAGGGAACAGGATAGGCGGATTGGTTTTGTTTGTTCTGTTTTGTAAGGCACACACCGTATAGTCCCAAAGTGTAGAAGGGGAAGTAGAAGACACCAGAGACAGAGGAAGGGACACTGTATCAAATGACCTGGGGAAGCAGGGTGGTGAGCAGTACAGAGAAGCAGCTGAGCACACCACCAGTCGAGAGCGTGAGGCTCTGCCACCAAGCACTATGTAAGTGGGGAAAGTCACTTTACCTAAAGCCCTTTCCTAGTAAGAGCAAACTTCTCGGGTCCTTCAGTTGCAGGACTCAAAACCAATCCCCTAGAACAGTTTCTACTAACCCTCAGAACAGCACAAGAAATGTCATTTCCTCTGTGTGGCTCAATACTCACTAGTTGGAAGCCACAGGATTCACCACAAACAAGCAGGGGGCTTGTAGACACCTCTGGACTTTGGTGCCTGGAGAACCCTTGCACCACTCCCTCTCTAGACCTGGAGCTAGAAATGGATCACAGAACAGAAGAGGGCGCTGTGTGTCCCACCCAGACCAGGGTCTCATGTTCTTTCACATACTTTGATGCTCTGGAACTTGGTTAGGGTAAGATTCTTCCAGTTACTCTCCAAGAATGCAGCACAGAATGCTTCCCTTGTCAGCTGTCAAAGACGACAAGGACATGGACAGGCAAGGTGGAATTCTGTATTCCATCCCCATTGCTCTGCCACTCAGCAACTGGCAATGGAGTTGGGAAGGGCTCTGCAAGCAGCTGAGAAGCAGACGTACCCCGAGAGCCCGGGCTCTCCAGCCAGGCTCACTGAACCCTGACCCACCTAAGGATGAGGGAGGATCTCTCGCATGCCAAATTGGCAAGTACCTACACTCAGCGTGGGTCTTTTGACCCTCCTACACCTGAGCAGGTCCACCTTCTACCCCAAACCTCTGCCTTCTACCTCATGCAACTCCATAACCTTCCTGAGGCAGAGGATACGTCCAAAGAAAGAGCCAATTAAAAAAAAGAAGAAAAAGAAACAAGCTTTAGACACACACAAAAAAAGCATCCTCTGCTTACACAGCCCACTGTGTTCTTTCTCTTTATTCCTTTAATCATCAGTCACCCCTACCACACACACTAAAAAAACCTCAAAAATCCCTGTTTTCAGGTATACCATTCCTTCCTCATTCCCTTTCTGGCTTTTTAATCTACTACTCACACCCCCAAAATAGTTCCTGTCAAATTTGTTATGGAATTTTATATAGTTGTCACATGAAGATTGTAGGTGACAACATGTTGGGCAAGCCTAAACCCTAAGCAAGATTACTTGGGACAGTTGGCTGAACAAAGGCAAAAAGGAAGGAGAAGCTCCAACAAGAGGGAAAGCAGTGTCCTCACTGCAGCTGTGCTGTACCCAGTGGCACGCCGCACGCGGGGGGGCAACTGAGGGTGCAGTTCATGGGCACTGCAAAGGCGGCAATCTTTACACTACCCACTGGGAGGCAATATAGCCACTTGCACAAATGGTAAAGTTCTAGGTAGAAAGATAATGATCTTCCTCTGATAACTGGTCAGGGTTGTTTTGTTTTGGGTTTGTTTGTTTGGCGGCGGCGGTGGTAATCCTTGTCCACACAATCTTTTTTTCTAAAATTCAGCACCTCAGAATAAAATCTGTGTTTCCCCTTAACTCCCCTCCTGCTAACAGCCTCCTTAAGTCTTTGCAGGCACGTGTGAGCCGGCACCTGCATGGTAGACGCACTTCCTTTACTCAATTCACAAGTAATAATTTTACCACCATCACCCATGTGTCCTTGTATCCAACAGAAACTTCCCAATTGTGTCCAAATAGGTAGACAACAGAGATACAATAGATGAACGCCCTAAGTGTCTCAGACAGAGAGAGGCCTCATATGGTGGTGAGGACAGATGTTTTCACTAGCATACCATAAAAAAAGGTCCAGGGAGCGTCACAAGGATCTGAGTCAACAGCATCCTAGATGTTTCCTTGGTTCTTTCCCTCTGTCGTTTACAATAACTTGTTCTTTACACCAAACACCACAAGCCATCAACACTAGACTCTGATCTTTGAAGGTTTTGATTACTGAAGTGTGGCTAGAAAACTTGACTCAGCAGATAAATGGTCAAAGGTCAGTCCTCGTGAAACTCCACAAGTATTTACAAACCCTGGGCTGCAAGGTGGCTGGTTTGATTTACTGAGCAAATCGGTCCTGCTAAGGCTGCCCCCCGCTGGGGCACTCCAGTACAGAGGAGTACACCCAATCCTCCTGAAGAGGCCACGCACCTGCTGCTTAACCAGCATAGCCCACCTCCCTCACATCCACCCTCTGCCTCGGTCACAACAGCAGTCAGCATTCACAGGTATTTCCTGCATACTAGGTACCATTAAAAGCTCTGTATACATGAACTCATCAGATTTCCAAACTCCAGAGGATGGACTGAAGTGACAGAAATGCTTTGGCCCAATTTCCCTCATAGTTTCTATCCCTTATCTCTATCTGTGCTGTAAAGCTTAAAGCCCAATTCTCATTATGGTTGCATTTTTAAAATCTTCCAAGGCTTATTGCTTCAAACATCTATGGAAGCTGTTAGCTCCTAACTGAAATGGCCGTAATGTAGGAAAGGGTATCTACTCATGCAAGTAATCCAACCTGAATTCTTTGCTTAGTAACAGCCTCTCTGTGAGACACCATTACAAGGGACTGGGTCGTAAATCAGTGCATGTTGTGCTGTTAGGTGCTCCAGAGGCACACCCATGGTGACGCCCATCTTAACTGTAGGTGCTTAGGTCTGCTGTCGTCACTGACACCCCACCCACCGCCCTCCCAAGCCTCCTAGTAACACTAAGGAACCCATGGTCACTGGCTGGATGGCATCAGATGCTGCAGAGAACACATCTAAACGTCATGGTACTTTCTGGTTCTGGGTGATTTGCAGAGGCACTGGCATTAAAAGAGTGGAAATGAAAGGCAGATCATTCACAGAGAAGGCGGCCTTCAGATGTCACTCTGTTCACAAAGCCCCTGGTTTACAGGCTCCAGACAGCCTGGGAGAAAACATCCCTCGCTAATTTCCCTTAGTCCTGACTATTCTCCTCCACTCTAATCATTAGTGAAAAGTAAGAATCAGGAGAAGTACAGCAAGTGATTTATTACAATGATAACACTCACCTGCCACTGCAAGAATGCAGTCAGGGTTTACATTTCCATTGTGTTCTCTGCATGACTCTACAGAGACTGCTGCCAAGCGGGGCTGCAGTGTGTGCTGGTCCTCCCATTTTCTGAACATATGTTTGGAGAGAGCATAAGTAGCATGACCAGAGCAGATTTCAGGCCCTCAAAAGTGCCAGGGAAAAATGCTACTTGAGGAAATCGGCAAGTAACATAAAGTTTGTGATGTTACAAAGCCTACAATAGTCAGTATTTTATAAACTACTAAATAAATAACTTTGCCTCTGTTAATACACTATCTCCCAAAGCAGGGTATTTATTTACAAGGCCAATCCCACCAGCAAGGAAACTTTCAAACTGCAGACGTTCCCACTGGTCAGAACCTCTATTCCCTGGTCCCAGAAAAGGACCTGGCGTTAACAGCATGGGCTCAGGCGCGGCACCGCTCTCTGCTCTGCCTTGTACAGTTTTTAGCAAAACCGACCTCATAAACTGCAGGTTCTATATGGGAACAAAGTTGTTCCAGCAACCTTAGTGCTACAAATGAACAGAAACTGCTACAGAAATAACTGTAAAACATCAAATTTATTTGTATGTATCTATCTGTATAAATACAGCTTGAACACAAACATCTAACATAGTGTGGTATATTTATGGGGTATACTAAATGAAACAAATCCTTATTAAAGATCTGACCTAACCTTACTTCCTTGAAATGAACTGTCAATGACTGAATATAGTGAGAAATAATACTCTAGTTACTACCTAACTTAGAATGACAGACAAATTCCTTAAGTCGATTTAGTTTCTGTGGACTCAGTATCACCTTTCTGAGTCTTGCTCAAGTTGATTCTGCAAATAATTAGCTTAACTCAACCAGTTACACATATTTCTCACAGTTAATAGTTTTGTCTGTTTTATTTTTTTCTATTGCTGTTGTTGTTAATGGCTTCTTGCTGTTGCTGTATTGGGACATGCAGCACAGGTCAGAGAAGGTTCTCCTCTGGAGAGATTGGCACTTCCGCTCTCAGCCTGTGTAGGAACTGCACAAATGAATCCTACAGCACTGCTCTAGTGTTACTGCTCCTCAAATCCCAGCTCCTTGGCCAACAGAGTGCCCCGCCATTGTAATTCTTCTTAAAGTGTTCCTACCACCGAATTACTATATTCAAACAAGTGCCTCTGTGTGTATAATTTACATATACATTATATCCCAAGTTTCTACCCACATACACTTGAGTCAGTGAATGTGAAATGTTTCTCTTGAATAAAAAGCATTTACAAGAGTATTAAAACAAATGCTGAAAATTACTATTTTACATTTAGACCATAAAAATGTAAAGTTAATGCAGTGACATAAGACCTAAGAGATCAAATACATCATATGATTGTCATATATGCAGGTTGTGTTAATTGGTTATTTTTTCTTTAATCAGAAAATAAAAGAGCTTACCTTTGTGTACTGAGATCACAGCTTACAGTCACTATATCTCAGCCTATCTTATACAAGTGATATGGCTACGGAGGTCCGAGGAGAACGAGAATAAAGTGAGATAAACGTGCTGAAAACTGCTTAAAAGTATTAACCTGAAATACACAGAGGGTCCAACACCAGTTTTAAAAATACATTAACGAGGTATTCCCAGCTGTTCAATTAATTATGGTGACTGATTAATGATTCTCAAACATTCACCCATTTTTTTAAAAAGGCTAATCCAAGCATGATCAGTATTTCATTCCCAACGTTAACAATTTGAGATACTATAACAACACCAGGAGCTACTTAAACCCAACCCCCTTATTCCACCATACTATGCACCAAGCCTCATCAGCATGAGGCATGTTGGAAATCTATGGACCATTATGGGCACAAGAGATGGGGCACTCCTGCAGCTGTAAGGGACATGGGTTGCCAGCCACACCTCTGGTGAAGCGCCGGCCCCCACCAAAAGATATGGCTTAGGGAGGACACCTGTCTCAGATAAATTGTAATACTGCTAGCTGGACAATCAAAAATGTAAGTGTTCAAGTTATGTGCTAAAAATGATTCAAAAGTGTCAGAGGATAGCATAACTCACACACAGACTCTAAGTTCTACATTAATCTGTAAACTCTCTGACAAGACCTACACGGAAAGGGTTACATCTAGATATTGCTACGTTTCCAAACGGAGAGCATTAAAACAGACATCGTGCTTTGGAGAAAGTATTGCTCTTCTGTAAAATTCTCAGTCATTGTTTTTAAAAAGGGTTAGAGTGGTGGATCTGAAAGCTGGAAAGCCTCAGGGGTCACATTGCTCTTAAGACCAAGATATAGAAATTGCCATTCAAGCCAGACAACCTGATGGTTCTAGAAGTCAGAGAAGAGATCTTGAGGGCCCAAGTGAATAATAAATGGCGCGACGCTCAGAGGCTGGCAATAGGGGCTGTCAATGAAAAAGCCACCTACAGTGGAGACAAGAGCAGAGAAGCGGGCTTCGTGTTAGCGTCACACAGCTGGACGGACGAAGCCAAGAGCTTCACTTAAACTTCTCTGCTCTTTCAGCTGTAAGTGGGATTTTCATTACAAAATGAAGGGGGGGGAGGGCAAAAGGTGGGAGGACACTTAATTCATTACAGATTTTAACAGCTAAATTTGCATGGTTACCACTTCTAACACAGGGTTGACAGCTCCATTGTTTTAAGTAAAGCAGAGAAATGTAAAAGTTTGCAGCAACTCGGCAGATTTACAACATGGTTAGTAACTTCCAACAAACAACAAAATTAAGAAGGGGGAAGACTTGGTAGAAACCATTTGAAATGACGGCCATCATGTTGGAGAACAGCACAGCTCCCTCCTCCATCAGAGAGAGGTTAAGTTATGAAGCAGAGTCAGAGACTGCAAAAGTATTTTCTCAAGAGAAATCTCTAAGGAGATTCCAGCCTAGAGTCCAAATTTGATGATCAATTTCAAATAACAATACAACTGCAACTGCCAATTAATAACAGTGTTTCAAAAACAGAAAACCACTGTAAATATTTAATTAATAAAAACTGAACACTAGCAGCCATGCTTTTTCTTCTCAGTGATGGCTCTGTTTCATCCATAGGTCAGCAAAACAAATCAATGAACATGAAAACTCCCAGCTGCAAAGGGGTCCTGCTCGATTGTCTTGCCACTAACACACATAATGAGAATGACAAGTTAAAGCTATTTCTAGCAAGTGACAAGGTTTTATTAAAGTATCACCCACCACTAGTAGAAACAAAGGGTCAGGAAAGGAACAAATGATTGTGCAATATACATCTGAGCAGTGCCTCCACGCCCATCTTGCCCTTGCTTCCAAAGGAGCACGGCATGTAAGTTAGTCAAGACCACTTCCAAGTGATGGGCACTGCTTGGTTTTGAAAAGGAATTTAACAGAACAGTGGCTATTTCCTACTAATTCATCTTTAAGACACAGTAGTGTCACCTGAATGGGGGTGAACACCTTAATGAAACCATTACCTTCTAGTAACATCATCAGCTTTCCAACGAGGGGAGAATGCAAGTGAACACTTGGGTCTGCACCCTTCACAGAACAGCACAATGTTACTGACTCAGCTTCCACCAGCGTAACCAGGTGTCTTAAAAGTAAATGCTGACCCATGGCTGAAACCTGTCACTTTTCACAGCAGCACTCAACAAGAACTGGGACAATCGGAGAGCGAGTTTTTATGGGGATCCTGTTGCTGCTTTAGATTCTGATATCATTGAAGAGGAAAGGAGGCCCTTCAAGGAATCCCAGAAAAACTGCTAATCGTCTACCTTCATGAAAAAGGAGTGAACAGAGTCTTACAGAGTGAAGAAGGCCACAAGAACAAAAGAGGGTGATTGATTAATTTATTTTTTTAACTTGGAAATTCGTAAACTGAAATAATCACAATCTTCCCTCCCCACCTTTGGGTGGTGCCATCATCTTACTAAGCAATGCTGGGATAACAGAATGTAACCTTTCATTGGGTTGCTCTTGTACAACTGGGGTACAAAGAGCTTACAAAGGAAGTAGACTGAGTCAGGCTAACAATCATCTCTGCTTTGTTTTAGCAGCTTGCTTACAAATGAATGGGTTTCTAGGGCTAAGTTATTATTAGTTTGCAATTCTTGAAATTTGATACCAAAACATATCAAAAATAATAAGCTAAAACAATACTCAAACCCATATTTTATTGGCTTTACTTACACACTTCATTATTTACAAAGTTAAGGTTTAAATGAAAAGTTTCTAATGTTTTGAAAAAAAAATAACTACAGCCCAAATTACAGTGCCCTGGGGCAAGCACATCAATCAGCTACAAATCCGTGGCTGCATCAGGAACCAGGCAGTACTCTGTGTTACAACAAAGCAGTTTATTTGTGATCAGTGCTGAGACTCTATACATCCTTCACAAATTTAACTTTACATAATCTGATATTCTCTGAGAACTTCAACTTTGAGCTGCTAGACTTACTTCCCTACAACGAAGGGGCTGGTATAAATTATTTCCAGGAATGAGGTACCGTTTCACAGAACTGGTTTCTTTTTGTTTTTTTTCAAGTTTTAGAGAACTGAATTTGCATTTGTTAAAATCAAAAAGTAGGAAAGATGTTCTTTACAAATAATTTTGATCAAGTATGTTCAAAGAAAGCAGGATAAAAAGGCTTTTTCTCTAACATTCTGCATTGTACTGTACTGTTGTTCAATAGGAATGAGCTTCTGTCATTTGCTAAAAGAATGAGTAGTGGGGAACAGGATATGTTGGGAATTTCATAACGGGTAACAGAACCATTCTCTTGGGCAAACCTACAGAGAAAAGAAACGGAGAGGACTCCAATAAAAATTTCAGGTTAAAAAATTCTTACAATAATTATCATTAACCATTTCCAGATTAGTCAGTCTATTTTATACCATTTTGGAAGAGGCCCACAGATTCCTCACAAATCAATTTGCTCTTGTATCTTGATACATAATGTTTTCTGCTCAAGAGTAAAATGCCCGTATCATTGAACAATACTCAGACATGACATGTGAGTGAGAACGAATTCTAAAGATCAAAAACAATGCTAGTGATTAACATTTTTGTCCTAAAGTGACTCTGAAAATGCATGTAGCATATGACATATTAAGGAGAAATATGTCAAGATATAAGTCTTTCTGTTTGGGCCTCAACTCCCAGGAAAGACAGCTCCAACCAGAGCCACCAACCAGGTATTTGTCTTCTCATGGGCTACCACTAATTTGACATGGCAAATCTGGAAAGATTAATACTGTTTGCTTAATTTGTAATTAATACGTTCTTGTGGCCTCACAAACTCCTGCACACTAAGGAGGATTTGAAATCTGCCCGTCTCTATGCTGATGTTTAAACCTAGGAGAAATCACAAAGCAGCAACAGCAGGTATTCAAGAGCACCAGATGATCAGAGGAGATAACCCCACATGCAACAGCTTTACAAAGGCCAAAAGACATATTTACCTTACAGCCAAAATAAAGCACTGTTTTTAGTAGATTTGCATCACAGTAACATTTAAAACCCAAATCTTTTATGTGAAAAATGGGGCATCAAATTACAGCAGCTTTGGAAGTCAGTTATATGGCACATGGAAGAGAGGAGCCTACTGAGGCTCAGAGGCCACAGGTGAAAGAATGTTAAGGATGGACCAGGAAAGAAAAATTAAGACTGAAAAAACACAGATGTAACTGAAGAGTCTAAAGACCAAAAATTTTTTAAAAGAAAATGTCTCTAGCAACGCTTTACTAGAATTCATCTTATTATGTGACTGACACACAGCACTTCTGCTCTGGTGCTGCGTGTCAGATGTGCTGTGTCTGCGACAACAGACCGACCCCATTCTGGAAGGATGAAGTGTTTGGGGCATTCAAAAGCTAGAGAGAAAGGGCAAATGCCAATGGTCAAACTAAAAAGAATCTGACAGTCTGAATTCAGAAAGAACTGTAGGTAAAAACATATTCTTGGACTAGTCCCCAACCCCATATCTGGGATTACTCTAGTAGAGAACATGGGGAAGCCTGAGTCACGTGAGACTGTGCCAGCAAAACAACCAGGCAAAGCACTGACGTGTAGGCTCTTCACTTAGCCCAGACAAAACTTCCTACACGTCTGACCTAGTCAAACTCTACACTTCAGCAGAGCAAGGTCTACGGACCTGTAAATGTCATCAAAATAAAATAGGGAAGGCTGACGTGGGAAGAGAAAAAGTACAAGGTGAAGGTCTGATCTCATGTTGAGGACCCTTGCCACAAACAGCGATGCGTGGGGGCCTTTGCCCTCCGTGTGCATGCACACCTGGTTAGGGGCTGTGTGGACACACACGCGCGCACGCACACACACTCTTTTGCTCTCTTCTCTCAGTGACAAGCATCCTGAAGATGGTAGCTGATTCCGTAACATATAGCGCCTGAGTTACGAAAGATGCCTAAGAGCATATCACTGACTCCAAACCTACTGCCTCCATTGCCACATAAACCTCATTCAAAAGTTATCCAAAGGGCCATTAGCACATATCTGCTGTTAGTTTTTGCTTTGAAAAGAAAAAAAAAGTGACAAGCCTAGGATTTTCTAGAATCAGCTACTGACATCTAGAAGAAGGAACAGGTAACATTGACAATAAACCCTATCATCTCTGTGGGACCAATGACATCTATCTATTGTCAAAGAAAAATGTACAGCAATGACTACTAGGTACAAATTTGAAGTGATGGCTTCCTTTCCTTGACTCAAGTAGCCCACATTCATAAAACCCTATACAGAAACCAACAATGCAGCCATGTAACTGGAAGTTGCTAGACTAAAAACAGGGTATGGCCCTTTAGTAGCCTTTGAATGGAGTATAGGTTGGCTGTAAGAATTACTTCAAATATTTAATTTCAATATGGTCAGAAACAGGCAATAAGAACAAGCAGTTCTCCAATCAGGCAAAGCAAAGAGAAGAGCAACTTCAACCAAACCAAGAACCACAAGGTTGTGGCATTTTCAGAGGGAATTTAAGTTGGTCACTAGAATGATTAGGTCTGAGAATCTCCAACTTGTTTATAGAATCCCTGGTTACAGACTATGTCCTGGGTGCTGTGACAAATGTGCTAAGAGGAAACAGTAAGAAGGTGTACATACCATATGCAGGGGCAGCAGTGCTATAGCCGTATGGTGTTCCATAGCCTGGTATAAAGAAGAAGACAGCAATCAGTACAGGCCCGCGGGGAGCACCCAGACTCTGGAGAGCCAAGAGCACCCCTACAGAGTAGTCCCGCCACATCCTAGTCCTGCTTAGGGCTAGAAGCCTCACACTATGACCTACAGAGATCCTCATAACTTGCCCTAACCACCTCCTCCTTTGTCCCGTTCACTTGTGCTCTCTCCCTCGCTCTCCATCTACACTTTACCCTGTACTGTAACCTTCTACTTGTCTGTGTGCTCCACTACAGTGGAGATCAAAGCGTAGCTTTCTATCACCTAAACCTAGCACAACAAACCGCATCTGTTAACCACAATAATACTTAGAACCACAACTACCAATTTCTAAAAGATGGAACATGAAACCTTCCATGGCTCCTTTCAGAAAAGAGTGGCAGAGCATGCTGCATCCTCAAATGCCACTGAAGATCATGTCTGAGTCAATGACAAGGTCCACTGAATGCCAGGACCCAACTCAGTCTCCCTGTAAAAGTTGGCAACTTGATATATTAGTATCTCATGACTATTAAAAAAGAAACACTGATTATATAAGTAAAAATTACTACTAAGAACACAAATGTTTGTGAGTGAGTTAATTCTGACATTAACTGCTTACACATCCATAAACAAGGAGGATGTAATCTCCCATACTCCCATCTTTTAAATGGGAAAATCCAAACTTCTTTTATAGTGTTGCTGTAAGGTCTAGATATACCATGTTGATAAAAACAGTAACTTCTCATCTTTTAGAAAGACAATCCAAAAGCATATAAATATGAAATGGTCTGGTTAAGTCCCAGGTGACACATTTTAACTGCTCTCTAACTACAACAAAGTCCCAGCATGGTCATGCATACTAGTAATCCCAGCACCACAGATGCTGAGGCAGGCCTAGGATTCATGTAGTAAGGTTCCAGGGCACACTAAACTATGAATCAAGATTCTGTCTCTAAATAACACATAGAAACATAGCAGGCTGGGCATACTAGCCCACACCTTTAAATCTCAGGGTTGAGAATCAGGGACAGGTAGATCTCTGATAGCAAGTCCCTGGCCAGCCAGGGATATAGTGAGACGCTGTCTGACGGAACAATACAACTATGTAAAGCCTTACTCATATCAATCATATCACAACTGTTCTACAACTACTTATACTGCTCAAAATGGCTTATCCTTGAGACTGGCATCAAGTATCAACACGCCAGGACTGATATTCCTTCTAATGCCCAACCCATGATGTTATAGCGTGCTAATATTGCACTATGTTCAACAAAGCGTCTGCTCCTGTCCCATCTGACCCTGAGCACTCACTGGAGCAAAAGCAGGGACTTAACTTAGTCACCTTTGTTCAGGTTTTATAAAGCACTCAAGCATGTGCCACACAGGTGCCACTTTTTACTCTGCAGTGAAAACGGGGATGGGACAGTCACCATACTCATTAACCGTAGATTTGAAGAGAACACAATACAGCTAAGATAAACATAAGGAAAAGCAGAGAGTAGTCAATTCAAAATTAAAATAAATGGTTTTAAAAATTTGTATTTTCTTATTTCAAAAATGTGTTCCAAGGAATGAGAGCTATTTCCATAAGTTACAATATCAAAGGTTATCCTGAAAGAATTGAAACTACAACTACTTAAAACTGGCCAGGGATCAGGCTACTAGGATTCTAACCCAACCTTTAACTAGCAAGGCATCTGAATTACATGAAGATTCTCTGAGCATCAGTGCTATGCACAGCAGCCCAGTGGGCAGGGAAGTTAAAGTACATGGAAAACACCTATGCCATCTCTGCTGCACATAAGACACTCCACTGACGAGGGATGTCCTCTGTATATACGTTTCTCATATTGGTTGATGAATAAAACACTGATTGGCCAGTAGCCAGGCAAGGATTATAGGCAGCGGTTACCAGACAAGGAGAATTCTGAGGGAGAGGAGGCAGAGGGAAGCAGCTAGAGAAATGCCACGTAGCTGCCGAAGGAGTAACATGCTGGATTATGGGTAAGCCACAGCTTCGTGGCAATACATAGTTTAACAGAAATGGATTAATAATTAAGAGAGAGCTAGCCAGTAAGAAGCCTGAGTCATTGGCCAAACAGTTCATATTAACATAAGCCTCTGTGTGTTTATTTGGGGGCTAAACTGCAGCAGGACCAGGCGGGAAAGAAACTCAGTCTAGACCCCACAAAGGGTATAAACTCATCAAAATCTGTCCTTGCAACTACTTGACCCCATAGAAGGAATAACATTCACAAATAACATCTAATATTGCCCTCTCTCCTTAGAACCCTTGATGACTTCTCACTTTACATAAGATTCTAAAACAAAATCTAAGCCATGGACTGGGTAACTCATCAACTTTAACTCACATTCCCCCCCACACCAAGTTCTTTCCACTGTTGTGGGACATTGGTGTAATAAAAAGCTGAACAGCCAATAACTAGGCAGGAGAGATAGGTGGGACTTCTAGGCAGAGAGAAAACACTGAGAAGGAGGAGGAGACACAGAGCAAGCAGGATGTGCAGGAGGAGCACTAATAGCCACAGCCACATGGTAGAACGTAGATTAATATAAATGGATTAAATTTAAGTTATAAACGCTAGTTAGGAACAAGCCTAAGTTATAGGCTGAGCTTTCATAAATAATAAAGAGCTTCCACATCATTATTTGGGAGATAGCAGGACAGAAAAAGAATTATTACATCCCACTACTCTTGTTTTCCACCCTCCAAATTATTTAGTGTTCCTGCTTCATCAAATGCATCAAGTCTCCATTGTTAGTACAGTGGCAGGGCCTCCAAGAGCCAAGAAGAAATGTACAACTCTAACACATCTCTTCTGCAATCACCCTCCCTTCCTTTCTCCCCATTCCAGCCTCATAACCAGTAATTTAAAGTGCCCCTTCAAGAATGTAAGCTACCTCATATGGGAAATAAGACTCTCTTCTCTGACTTCTAGGAAAATTTCCAGAAATCATGCTAGCGCATAGCAAACTTTTGCCTGCAAAAGAGCCTCATTTCTCTACTCAGAAAGCCTCCAACAGTAGTGAATCTCTGCACAATCGAGGCTTCTCAGTTACACTTACTAACCCTCCACACTCCACTCCAGTGTCAATTCTTCAGGGAAGCCTCTGTGTACCGAGTAGGCTACATCATGGTACTCTGTTACACTCTGTTGACGTGAAGCCTATATCTCCTCCCAGATTCATCTCAGGTTTAATTTAAGTTTGTTACTTGTTTACTTTTGCTACCTTTCCTCTATACTGTAGCTCAACATGGGTAAAATCTATGGTGTGTTTCTAAGCAAGAGAAATGCTTTATAAGACATATCCTTTAGAAATGCAACCAGAGTGAACTTGTAATCCCAAAGCCACATTATTCATATAACTTTCCAAATGGCAACAACATGCACATTGAAGCAATTCTAAGGGTACTTTTGGGAATGTCCCAGATAGATGGATGGATGGATGGATGGATGGATGGATGGATGGATGGATGGATGGATGGATGGATGGATGGATGGATGGAAAGATAGATAGATACAGACAGACAGACAGACAGACAGACCGACCGACCGACCGACCGCAAATACAAATGGCTTGTCAAGTGAAAACTTTCACTGTTTCACCACTGTGAAGAACAAGCCAGCTGGACATTCACAGTTAAAACAACATATGGATTGGAACAGAAGCCTATTATCAGACAGATTTCTGAATCTCCCTCAAGCCATGAGGTAAAACAAAAAGACCAACAGCTTCAGGATGCTAGCACCTGCATCCAAGTCCATACTATGCTGCTTGTTTTACCCAGACCTGGTTGCCCGACCTGGAAACTACCTTCCATCTGAAGAGGCCCTGAGGACTGACAAGTAACTTACATGGAAATGTCTAGCATATAATGGGCTCTGGAAAATAAGTTGCATCTACTTCCCAAAGTTCCCCCAACACTCATACTCTCCTCCCCCTCTCTCTTCTCTCCTCTCTCTTATTGTTCTTTTTTCGTTTTGTATTTCTTTGACTGTTCAATTACTGAACTTCATAAATGCTAATTTGGCCAGGATTCACCCCTATTAAGAAGTTCCATAGCAATTCTGGTAAACCAAGCATGACTGTGAGATCCTGCACAGAATACACCCTACTCCGCTGTCCAAACACCATAATTTGTAGAGCAGCCTTTAGATTCTTCCCTATCAAACTATCCTCCTTCATACAAGGTAGTCATGCTTGTCTTTCTTCTCCCTCCAGGAAGGGGCGCGCACCTGCGTGCGTGCGTGCGTGTGTGTGTGTGTGTGTGTGTGTGTGTGTGTGTGTGTGTGTGTGCATGTATACACATGTGCATACTTGTTATATTCCTCTTACACATGTGCAGTATTCCCAGAGACCACATACAACTTTGGAGAATGAGGAAATGCTGTTCTTCAGGCCTGGAATCAAAAAGGCATTTGATCTTTATCAAGTGGCACTAACCTGGTGCTATATAGCCAGGAGCAGCTGTAGCCCCAACGAAAGCTCCCCTTGTCAGAGTTCCTCTTCCTCTGCCCCGAACTGCCTGAACTGCTGCAGATACTGCTGTATTCACAACACCCTTTGCCTGTATTAACAACAATAATAATTTCATCATTGAAATAACTTTCATCCTCTCAACTGCTATGGAGTGTCAGGTGAGCCAGCAAATCATCTACGGGTAGACGCCTCTGTGAACTGTCTGCAAAACAGAAATGACAGCTATCTTTTTTTTAAAAAATTCATTTTTTCTACTATTATGCAATATATCCTGACCACAGATTCCCCTCCCTCCACCACTCCCACTTCCCCCTTAATGAATTATTTAAACAGTCTACAACAAGATTAAGATTGAGACTTAGTTTTAAATTAATCAGCACTTTCACTTTAGCATTAGCCCTTAGAATCATGGAACTCGCAGTGGGGTTTAGAATGAGTGTGTTGTGGCCAGCAGAATGTAACAGGAGCACAGTAGCCACTGGTGCCCTGTCTGCACTCAGCATCAGGGGCCAGTCCTCAGCTGCTGCAGACCAGCGCCTGCACATCAAAGCGTCTGGGCTTTTCTTATCACATAGCCCTTGTTTAGTTAGGGTTTCTACTGCTGTGAACAGATACCATGACCAGGGCAACTCTTTTTTTTTTTTAATACAGCACAAATTTATATTTCTTGTGTTATAATTGCCATTTATCAAGGATACAATTATCAAAATCAACCCATAATAGCAGATTAACATTGATCATTAGATTAAATAAATGTATTTTCTTATTTTCTTTTTATACTCTTTAAAATTAATTTATTTTTTACATTCCAATTCCAGTTTGCCTTTCCTCCTCACTTCCCACTCTCACCACTCCCCGCCTCCTCCCATCTGCTCTATGGAGAGGGTAAGACCTCCCCTAGGAAGTCTACTAAGTCTGTCCATCATCTTGTTGAGGCAGAACCAAGGCACCTCTCCACCCCACACCCAAGTCTAGGCTGGGCAAGGTATCTCTCCATATAGAATGGGCTTCACTAAGTCAGTTTGTGCATTAGTGTTAGATTTTGGACCCACTGCCAGTGGCCTCATACATTATCCCAGTCACACCATTGTCACCTATATTAAGGGAGTCTAGTTCAGGTTCCCCATTTGTCAGACCTGAGTCTGTGATCTCTCACTAGCTCAGGTCAGCTGATTCTGTGGGTTTCCCCATCATGGTCTTGACTACTTTGTTCATATTATGGCTCCTCCCTCACTTTGGTTGTACTCCAGGAGCTCGGCCCAATGGTTAGCTGTGGATTTCTGCATCTGCTTCCAACCAGGGGAACTCTTATAAAAGAAAACATGATGGAGGTGGTAGCTTACAGTTGAGAAGTGCAGTCCATTATCATCGTGGGAAATGGCAGTGTGAAAGCAGACATAGTGCTGACTTGATCAGAATACAACAGGGAGTGGACTGTGGTGCTGGGTAGTATCTTCAGCATGTATGAGACCTCATAGCCCACCTACACAGTGACACGCTTCCTCCAACAAAAGCGCCCCTCCTAACAGTGCCCCTCCCTTTGGGGACCACTTTCTTTCAAACCACCCCATTCCACTCCCTGGTCCTCAAAGGCTTGTAGCCACAACATAATTCAAGAATGTGTTCAGTCCAACTTTAAAGTCCCCACAGTCTATAACAGTCCCAAATCTGTTTCAAAGTCCAAAGTCTCTTCTGAGACTCACATAATTTCTTAATTGTAATCCTCTATAAAATTAAAACAAAAAGCAGATCACATACTTCCAACATATAATGGCACAGGATGTACATTATCATTCCAAAATGTAGGGAAAAGAGCATAGTGAGGAAATACTGGACCAAAGCAAGACATAAAACCAGCTGGACGAGCTTTAAACGCTGCATCTCTATGTCTATGTCAAAGATCTCTTCAGATCTCCAACTCCATTCAGCTTTGTTGAGTACAACACACTTCTTTATCTTGGGTGGTTCTACTCCCTACTAGCAAATCTCTTCATCAGGTATCGTATGACTCTGATATCACTAACATTTTGAGTTCTGCAAAGCAATCCAGGCTTCAACTTCACAGCATCACACAATGGATTCTCTGGGCCTCCGTTCAGGGACACTCCTGACACATGCTTGGTCTCAATGGCTTTCCTTAGCTGAGGGAGTAAATTCCATCCTGCAGCTTACTGTGGCTGGAAAATGGCCCCCTTGTTCAATTTCATCTTCACCGACTTTCTGCTTTCAATGATTAGACTAGGCTGGCTTCAAACTCAGATCTGCCAGCCTCTGCCTTCCCAGTGCTGGGACTAAAGGGATGCACCACTACACATGGCTCTAATCTTTTCTTTACTTCCTTTTCACAAATTGGAAACTTAACTGGGTGGGATCTTTCTTTTGTTTGTTTTATTTTTCAAGACAGGGTTTCTCTGTATTGTTTTGGAGACTGTCCTGGAACTCACTCTGTAGACCATGCTGGCCTCGAACTCACAGAGATCCGCCTGCCTCTGACTCCTGAGTGCTGGGGTTAAAAGCGTGTGCCACCAACGCGTGGCTAACATAGTATCTTTTAAACCAATGTGTCAGGTGTCTCCACCATTAACTATATAATGAGGATGAAACCTACTTTGTTTTTCTTACATGAGAAGCAGAAGTGGGTAAAACAGACATCAATAAGTAAAAGAAAAAAACGATGATACTCCTAAGATGTCGGAAAAAAATCAAGCTGTGTCCAGTTTTAAATACTATATACTTCTTTTTCAGCACAAAAATGCAACAAAAACTCAAGCTAGGTAGAAGGTGGGGTGGGGAGCACACACAAAGTGTAAGCTGGAACTACTGGATCCTTCCTGTGGTCAAAGCCCACAGCAGGCAATGCTGACCTTCAGAACCACACCTCAGCTCTGACTGACCATAAGAACCCTCCAAAGTAGAAAGGATATGCATGCACATAGACAATCATTTCTCTTTCTGCTGAAATTAGCCAAGCACTACATAAAAACATTGCTTCCTGGCAGTCAAGCACACTGAACACATGAATTGAATGGTTTCTACTGTGAAAATTTTCTAAAACTGAATGGATAGTTTTAACTCCACACAGATCTAATTTATGCTACCACTAACAAACTTCATTATCTAATTAATAAATACTTTAACCCAGGCTAAAGATTAATTTTGTGTATGAGTCTGTGATACATCATATGCATGGCAGTGTGTGTGTGTGTGTGTGTGTGTGTGTGTGTGTGTGTGTGTGTGTGTGTGTGTACACACCTCATATATAACTATGCATGTGTGTACACACCACATGCATGATTGGTGCCTATGGAGGCCAAAAGACGACATCAAGACCCCTGGAACTGGAGCCACCAAGTTGGTGCTGGGAACGAAACCCAAGTTATCTTCAAGAACAAGTGCTCTTAACCACTGAGCCATTGCTCCAGCCCCTAAATGTAGGCTTTGTAAATACTAAAATTTACTGATTTAAGTGTAGGATGTCTCCTATGGGAAGAGCAAACCAAGGTGACAATGATCTTTCTACTTAATCTAGAAAATAGACTCAATTTTTACTAAAAGAATCGAGAAAACCTTATTTTGTATATTTATACAGTTAAATATTTTAATTAATTTTACTTTTGTTAGTTTTCTCTGGTTATATTTTGAATCCTTAGATATAAGTAGTGTTAATTACAGTTGATAAAACAAATTTAAGTGAATACAAAACAAATATCCACATAAATGAAACATGCTACAAGCCACAGAAGTCCGGGTTTAAAGAGGCGTCTGTCTGTCTGTCAGTCAGTCAGTCAGTCAGTCTGTCTGTCTGTCTGTCTATCCCTGCTCTCTGCTTCCTGAGTGTCAGCCTCCTCCTCCTGCCACCACGCCTTCCTCACCCTAATGAAATATAACATTGAAATTGTGTCGGGTCACCTGAGAATGTTTGTGGAGAAATTGTTACGCCTGAATAAAAAAGGCACCACCAACAGATTCCCCCTCACCCCTGGATTACTCAGCAGCTAACTAGATGGCTTAAATATCAATTCAAGAGACAACACTCATCTTCAACAACCACGAATTAAAATCACTGTTGTTTTTAGTTTGAACCTATTTACAGATTCATTCGACTATGAGTTTCTTAAGCCCATCATCAGGATCACAGGGCATACAGAAAGCACCCTCACCCTCTCTCAGACAACAGCAGACTTCCCTGGAAAACTCAGGCAGCCAATCTCACTGTATAAGTGTTTCAAGTTAGATTTCAAAACAAGGATAACACATTTCCTACTAGTTGGTAGGAAGTACATACTCTTCTTTTTGAAGCAGGAGACACCTAAAAGTGCAGCCAAGGAAAGTAATATGTGCTCTAATACAAGAACATACAGCACTGAAGAGTGCAAAAGCAAAGCTGGGCATGGGGAGGGGCGCGGGGGTTGGCTGCAAAGACAGCGGAACATGTTCAACTATTTCTATGTGACTCTGTAACTAAAGAACTCTCACAGGGTTCCCAAATAGTGGGGCAAACTCCTTAACAGATGTGTAACACTGTTCGCATTGTAAGTCTACATAGTTCAACCGGAAACATTTCTTCAAAAACAGGTGCCTACAGGGTTAAGTGGGGGGAGCTAGAGGAGAGGAGGGAGGGGGAACTGGGATTGCAATGTGGAAGGAAGGAAGGAAGGAAGGAAGGAAGGAAGGAAGGAAGGAAGGAAGGAAGGAAGGAAGGAAGGCAGGCAGGCAGGCAACAGGTACCTATCTTATACCATACAGGGTGACTGTGGGTTGTGAAAACCATGCCAGGCCGGATTGTCTTGTAATTGAGTCGGATGATGGTGCACTGGAGCTCTACTTCTGGGGAATGGTGATTTGCCATGTGCCAGCAATCTAACATAACTACAATTATTGTAAGGCTGGCACCACAGGAAAAGAGAGTCTGGTGATGCCACGTTCCTATCAGCCTGGATATGCATCTGCTATGATCCCTAGAAAAAACAAGAGGAACAGTTTCTCACTCAGTCTTCCTTCCACAATCCCCACATTACCTCATCAGCCAGCAGTAGCGATGAAGGAAATAAATGATGACTGACAACGAAGACAGAAGGATTGTTAAGTTAAAGATTGGCCCAAGCTACAGAGTGAGAACTGGTCTCAAAAACTCCAACCACCCAGGCAATCAACCATCCAGCCACCCACCCAATGCAAAGCTAAATGGAAGAATAGCAGAAACATTTAACAGTGGGGAACTGAAGGAGCATGTCCTCACTACCTTATTTTCTCAGTTGTTCTCCATCTGTAGTTTCAGATTACAGGATGGATAGACATCCTGAGAGACAAATGCAGACTGGCCCCTAGGCAGCAATTTTCTCAGCACCAAGTGGAGGCAGCCTGTGACCAGAATTAAAGCAGCAGCACCAAGTTCCCTGACACCTGTGATGCTGCTTTACTATACAGATTGTTTTTTCCCCTATGTATCCACATGGAAATTAAAGTTGCTTTTCCTATTTCGCACTTAAAGGGAAGAAAGGAACCAGTTTGGGTTCTGTTGTGGCTGTCCTGGAACTCACTCTATAGACCAGACTGGCCTCAAACTCACAGAGATCCCCCTGCATCAGCCTCCCGAGTGCTAGGGGATGTGCCACTGAGCCCAGCTACAATTACCACTTTTAATTAGCAAACAAAGTGCAGCAGTTCCCCTGCACGTTTATACACACTTTGTTTTTCCTGATCCTCCTCCCCTAACCCCCTTCTTTTCCCAGTGCCTTTGACAGGGAACTTTATCAGTTAATCATGTTACTCCTACAGTTTTCTTAGTCTTTTCCTCTGTAAAATATACTGGTGTTTTACCCTACTACAATGGATTTACCATATGCAAAAGAATCTAATGTTTCACTGACGTTCAAATAGTCTTAAGTTCCTTTCACTATGAGAAAGACAATGTGTCTTATTTTACTCACATTATCTCTTTTTACCTCAGAATTATTTATGTAATTGAGTCATAAAAAATGTCTTTGTGATACAAAATTCAAAATACAAATGCTAGCAAATGTAACTAAGAAGCCACCTGTCCCAAATACCGTATGAAGACTCTGGGCCTCCAGTGGCACTGACATTCCCAAAGCAGTTGTCTACACAGACAACATTGTCATGCTTTGTGCTACCCACAGAGGAGAGTCTCTGCCTCTCGCGCCGCCCTTAAACAAGTAACAAACATCAACTACCACCACAGCATAGGAGGGCAAGGTAGTGAGAAAGTGGATGAGTAACTACAGATTGGGGGTGAGTGAGCTCCAGCAGTCAGGCAGTGACCTGAACTAGACAAATGTTCTTACTATAAAGTTCAAATCACCTCCATTCCTCATTGTATCAATGATGACTTCACTCACCACAAAATTATGGGCAGAAACCATAATACAGACAAAGTAGTGTCTTGATGTATATTACTTATAACTTATCCAAAAAGGGAAACCTACCAAGACATTAAGAATAGACAATTTCACAAAGCTGAAGCAAATTTGAGGGCAGAAATCACAGGATCATCTCAATAGGTGCAGAAAAGGCTTTTTGACAAAGTTCAACATCTCTTCATGATTTAAAAAAAAATTCAGAAGTGGGCCAATAAAATTGTGGTGCTATTTTGTTTGTAATCTAACAAATAAAGCTTGCCTGAAGATCAGCGTGCAGAGATAAGTCACTAGTTAGCCACGCACATGATCCACTAGTTACCCATAGAGGCCAGGCAGTGGTGGCCACGCCTTTAATACCAGCACTCGGGAGAGGGGGGCAGATGGATCTCTTGAGTACAAGGCCACTCTGGGCTGCATGAAGAGTGAAGCAGTCTAAAAGAGAAGCAGAGAGCACACAAAGGTGATCCCAGCACTTGGGATGACACACCTTTAATCCCAGCACTGGTGAGGTGGAGACAGGAGTGATATGGTTGCATGCAGAGAGGAATATAAGACTGGAAGAAACAGGAGCTCAGTGCAGTCTGAGAAGCAGTGGGGGGGGGGGGCTCTATAGATAACCCCTTTGGTCTGAGGTGAGAACTCTCCAGTGACTGGCTGTTTTGCTTTTCTGATTGTCAGCTTTAAACCCAGTATCTGTCTGGGGGTTTTGATTATTTTATTTGTGCTACATAAGGGAGATTACCACTGATTCTGATGAACTGAGTTAGAGCCCCAAAGACCATGTGGTATAGAACTGAATCAATGCCTGCAAGTTATCCTAACTTCACATGCACACCTATGTCAAGGTTTGCCTCCCCTCTGCAACAAATAATAAAGTTAAAAAAAAATAAGCCTCAAACAAACTAGGAGATAGAACATACCTCTACACACACAAAAAACTAAAAATAGAACTACAGTATAACACACCTATCCCACTCCAAAGAATTTTAAGTCTATACTAAAAAGATACTTGGCACATTCATATCTACTGCTATAGTATCTACAATAGTCACGATACAGTATCAACCTAGAAATCTACCAACAGATAAATGGATAAAATATAACACAAAGAAAGAGGGTGGGGGCAGAGGCAGAGAGACATTCTATCTAGTTATAAAGAAAATGAAATTATGGTATTTACAAAAAAATAGATGGAAATGGTGATCACTGAGATATGTAAAAATAAGACCATTTGGGAGGCAAAAGTACCAGCAGTGGGGAAGAACGGATTGGGACAGGGGAGAGGGCAATGGGTTGGGAGACCAAAGTACAGTGACAAACATGTATAAAAATGTTACAATAAGACATGCCATGGGGATGTACACTTTAATCCCAACACTCTGGAGGCAGAGGCAGTTTGAGGCCAGCCTGGTCTACAGAGAAAGTTCCAGGACAGCCAGGACTAAATAGGGAAACCTTGTCTCCAAAAACCAAAAAGAACAGTCACAATGAAACCCCTTATGTTACATGCCAATTAAAACTATCACGGGTGTAAGGGAATGGCTCCGCTGTTAAGAGTGCATACTGCTCGGGTCTGGTTTCCAGTATCTACTTCTGGAGGCTCACAACTGCATTTACCACCTGCAACTCCAATCAGCTTCAGGGCATCTCCCACTCTATTTTGGGCTCTGTAGGCACCTGTACACATGTAGTATACATTCACAGAAACACAAGATAAGTATGTAGTTTCAAATCAAGTGGTTTGAAACTTGGGTATATAGACTAGGCTGGCCTGGAACTCACAGGGATTCATCAGCAGACCTGGCTTCCCAAGTGTGAATTAAAAAATTTTTTTTCTTTTTTTTTTTTTTTGAGGAGACAGTAAAATGGCAAATGAGCAGGAAATGTAATTTGTGAATATTACAAGGTTGCTTCACTCATACCTGAGGAATGATCTTTTTTTTCTTATTATTTGCTGCATTGGGTCCAGAAAACAGCTTCTCCAGGGCAGCTAGTGCTGCACTTGCCTTGGCCACTTTCTTGTTTGGACCTGCACCTCTAAATTTCTGTCCATCTACTTCTACCTGAAAGTAAGAACAGCACCACAGTTAGACCACACAGCTCCCCACATGTGGTATTAATTCAAAGGCACCACAGGGCTGGAGAAATAGCTCGGTGACTACGAGCACTTCAGGCTCTTACAGAAAACCTCCATTCAGTTCTCAGCACTCACATGTGGCTCACAACTCTCTATAACTCCAGTTTCAGGGTACTCAACAGGCGATGACAGACAGACAGACATACAGTCAAAGCAAAATATTAGTACACATAAAGTAAAATAAACAAATCTTTAAAAAAAGAAAAGGAAGAAAATAATGAAGCCAAATAGTATTCTTAAAATAAAAGCTAATAGAAGTCAAAAATGCCTTTTACTATCAGAGGCAGGCGGATCTCTGTGAGCTCGAGGCCAGCCTGGTCTACAGAGCGAGTTCCAGGACAGTCTCCAAAGCCACAGAGAAACCCTGTCTCGGAAAAAAAAAAAGGTGTCTGTGAGATGAAAAGTAAGGTGGGCATGCATCTAGGTACACACCTCCATTACAAAGCGCTTGTCATGGCTTCCACCAGTCTCTGAGATGAGTTCATACTTGAGGCCTCTCCTTTTTTCATTGAGCTCCATTACAGGGTTTTTGCCACTTGCTGTAAGGATAGGACCCTGAGTTCTTACCTGAAAGAGACAGGAAAGAGGTTCAATCAAGACTTCAGAACATGCAATTTCTTTTTAATTTAATTATATTAAAAAGTAAACTCATTAATTCTACTTTAAAACATTTAAGGGTCAAAATGAATTACCTTTGTCCCCTCGTGCTGAAACCCTGCCAGGGGTAATTGCTGTGGTCATCTCAATAGCCTGTCTTTGAAGCAGGACTGCCCCCATTCAGAAACCTAAGGTAACCTTGCCATAGCAGTCCAGGGCTGAACTGAACTGTGCATGTTCTGAGACTGTAGGTAACTAACAAAGCAGATACAACAACAGGAATTTGCAAATACCATGAGAGCTCACCATTTCCATCTTTAGGTATGCAAAAACTAATTCTCAATTTTGGATGTGGGAGGCAAATGTTTCTATACGCCTCTGAGTCCCTCTAAACATATCTGAAGATACCTAGTGTAAAAACAATATCCTATTAACTGGATTTTGAAGTTTAAAAATAACAGTAATCCCTGGTTTCATCACTGTGAAAGTGTGTGTTAAAGAGCAGGTGACTGCTACGGAAACACAGGAAAACGGTAACTGAACACCTTCTGTTTTGTATGGCTGATATGAAATCTTACTCTGAATTCATTCTCTAGCCCAAGCAAGTTACAACTCAATGCCTTTTGTTGATGGTGGTATTTTGTTTTTCAGAACAAGGTTTCTCTGTGTAGCCTGGCTGTCCTGGAACTCTGTAGATCAGGCTGGCCTCAGACTCACAGAGAGCCGCCTGCCCGTCCCCTGAGTGTACCACCACCGCTCGGTGGAACTGAAGTTTTATGTTCTCATTCTTTCTGCTACCAGCTTTCAAAAGCTGGGATTATAGTCATGTGCTGTTACACCCATCCACAAAGAATTACTTTTAAAGGCAATCAGGATAGTTTTCTTAAAATAGACATGTACACCTGGCTTTAAAGGCTAAGTGCCAGACCAATCATGAGTAGGCATCAAGGGAGAAGGGAGAATTAGCAAGTCAAAGGCCAAGGGCAGTTTGGCAATATGGGGGTGGGGATATATTACAGCCTTATTAGAGGGATGAGTCCAAACCACAAAACCCTTTTCAGGCAAACAAATAAGTTTTATCCCCCCCCCCCCACACACACACACCAGCACATACAAATCACCCAATATTGATCAATTCAAATATTTTAAAAGAAAAAATAAGAGGTCTCCACTCAATTACCATAAAATAGAAACAGTTCTACCAAACTCATGTAGCTGCTATTCTCAAAGCTCACCCTGCTCTATCCATTCCTAATTCACTCTGTGATCTAGTCACCTGGACTTCATAATGTAAGTGCTCTCCCTTGCCCTGGTAAACATACCAGTGTCAACGACAGTACGTGGCCCTGTCACTGCCACCAGTAAATGACCAATGCTCTCCGAGCATACCCACAACTACACTCTTCAGCACCTAGGAGACCCAGTATCCTCCTGGGACTTCATGTCCCAGCAGTGTTCTCCATACCAATCAGCCCACTTCTCAACATGTACTTGCAACATTAGATCATGGCAGCTCCTCTTCTTTCAGCCCAGAATACCTACTCCCCCTACTCTTGGGATGGCAAAACTCCTCATGCAGAACTCTTCTTGTTGCAGTATTCTAATTTTGCATGGCTTGCATGTATATGCCAGGAACAACCACTTCTTCCCTTTAGATTTCACAGCATTGCATTTGTCTGGAACACCTATTATGAACCAATCTTTCTGATTTCCACAGTGGTACATCTTCAGGCTCTAGATAAAATGTTTGCAGCACCTGGAGCTAAGTAGTTATTGACAGGGATTTACAGACAAGAGTCCTTAACAATATTCTTACAACTAAAGGGGAGGGGGATTGTGTTGCTGTTTTTTTCTAATGTAAAGTTTGTGGGGGGGCTTTCCAAGTCTCCCTCTGATTACAGGTCTTTTTTCCTGCATGTGTGCTGTCTATATGTGTTCCCTCATCCTCAATAAAGTGCCTTCTTTCTTCAACTGCCATTCTATCTGCAGAGCTTGAGATTTCTCTGCTGCTATCTGTTGTCTCCCGATTTCCCCTCCCTTTTAATCCTTTAACTGGCAGAGAAAACAAACTTGACCAAGACTCCCAGACAGTATCACTGTGGGGGCTCATCTCAGACTTCTGAAGTCAGTATCATCTTAAGACCTGTCTTGAGATTTCTTTTGAAGACCACCAACTCAATACCATCACCAAATAACCTTCTTATGCTCTGGATCATTATCATCAGTTAAATTTTATCATGGTCTCTTAGATGGTCCCTCTTTTTTGAGGCACTGTGACTGCTGCCCACACTGTTCACCCTTTGTCAGCTCAAAGAAGCTAAAAGGAGTTGTCATCCTTAAACCCCCTAACACTTGCTAGAGTGACTTCTGAGAAAGGGCAATGAGAGACTAGGAGTTAGACAGACTGCCCATTTGGCAGACAGATAGGGAGAGGAGCTAGGCAAGAGAGGTGGCAAATTTCTAAGATGGTCAACTTCTTCATCACATTCCAAACTTGAGACAAAAGTCTGGCAGTTTATAACAAACTGCCTTGGTGGCTCTTGTTTTTCACCAGCAGGCCCCCTGTGATGAACAGGTGCAAGTTCAAGGCCTGCTCAGGACATGTCACAGAACAGCTGTATTTCTTCAAACTGACCAACCCTAAATTAGGGGAGAAAGACTTTTCAGAGGCTATAAAGCCACACCCCAGAAGAGACTGGGTTTCTTAACTTTCTGGGTCCTCTTTCTGTTTGCAGAGTCTTTTTCTCTGCATGCTGTGTCTTCTATGTGTATATCTTCTGCACTTGAGTTCCTGATATTATTTCAATGCCAGGTCTTCAAAGAGAATGCAGTCAACAGTAGCTCCTCCCAGTATACTATACATTCTCAGCACTTAGATTCATCACATTCTATTATATGGGACCATTAGTTCATAGTCCAGGGGCTGACTCCAATTCTGAAATATGCAGTGGGCAGTCTATGCCCTCCTATAAGGATTTACAAATTAAATGACGCTCTTAGGCACACTCTCATGTGCCACAGCTTAGCACACACTTCAAAAACATCTTTGCTCTACTATATCTTTTATGTTTCTGTTCTTCGGATCATACTGATAGTCTTGATACATTATAATAATGACACTGTAGAAGAATCTTCCATGGCCAGTAGGCTACTTAAATTAGGGTGTATCAAAATTTTTTTTTGCATAGGTAGGTATGTTGATATTCTTTTTAGGAGTTCAAATGTAAAACTATGTGAAAATACGACTGCCTTCATAAATATATTCAGAAATAAACCTGGGCACAGGTAAGGTAAAACAGACAGATGTGGCAATACTCCTGTAACCCAGCACTTGGAAGGTGAAAGCAGGAGGGTTACAAATTCAATGTCAACCTCAGCTATTCACTGAGTTGGAGAAGGCCAGCCTGGACTATTAGAAGCACAATCTCAAAAACAAAACAAAGCAAGGAGGCAGAGAGTGCCAGCTGTGGCTCAGTGGTAGAGTGCTTGCCTAATATCCACAGAGTCTAGGGTTTGATAGCCAGCAACACTCAAAAACAAAGCAAACTTTCAGTAATACATGCCTCTATGAGACACTTAACTCTTTTCCACATCTCAAAAGCACTCGCACTACTTTATTCTATGGAAGAAAAGAACACAAGTATACCTCTAAGGTGCTGGAGGTCTCAGTTGTAGAATTTCCAGTATTATTGCTTGAGTTTGAAGACACTGTTTCATTTTTGCTTTCATTATCTGATTTTTCATCGGAGCTCATACATTCAATATCTGCATCAAACCCTGTTGGGTATCCCATTGCTTGTAAAACCTGTACAAATTCCAATAAAACATATATATTCAGTTACCAAAGATCAAAAAGGGCAGCTGAAATTATGAGCTAAAAAGTTTCAGAATCTATAACATTTAGTTTCCAGAAACACCTGTGAAGAACAAGATAGTACATTCCACACACCAGGGCAGCACTGCATGAAAATGGGAAAGCTGCCTCCAAATCCCTAGCTCAAAGACTTCAGAAATGCAAGCCTAAAGTTACTGCTAGCTCATTTAATTTGGAGGTGAACCAATGGAAAAGGGACAGGCAAATAGCACCAAAATAAGGAAAATAAACTAGAAAGAAAAAAGATGTAAAGTCTACTCCTATCACTCTCCTCTGGCCTTCAATCTCTTAATCTGCAAAGCAAGAAGACTGATCAGTCAACCTCTAAATTCTATGACAACCATTGAAGAATTGGCCAAGGAACAGAAGACAGAGTTATTTTTGTTATTGCTTTGTTCTGTTTGCATCTGACTGGTTTTGTTTTGTGTCTTACCTTCAAATTGGTTTGCCAGTAGAGCCATAATTTCCAGCTGTGCTTAAGTGTCTCTTCTGGCTGCGTGTTGATGGCACACTCGGATGGCAGAGGCAGTTGAATCTCTGTGAGTTCAAGGCCAGCCTGGTCTACAGAGCAAGTTTCAGGACAGGCTCCAAAGCTACAGAGAAACCCTGTGTGGGTGGGAGTTTCTCACTCTTTTGAAACAAAGTTTTCACAAAGGTTCTCACTCTTATGTGAGCAAGTTTTAGGACAGGCTCCAAAGCTACAGAGAAACCCTATGGGGGTGGGAGTTTCTCACGCTTTGAAACAAAGTTTTCACAATGCTGTCTATGTGTGCCTGTGTGCAAATATGTTTGTTCATGTGCATGGGCATCGTCTTTGACCTCTCCTTTCAGATTATACTGCTTTTGCAGTAAACAAGAGGATGAATTTGCTAGTATCTCATTAAGTCTCTTTCAAAGTAGGTTAGTACCACTTTGTGAGCTACTGACTAATCTTTCTGCACTTTATTTTTAAATTAAAGAGGATGACAAAGATCAAATCTAAGTTCTTGCTAGGCTACATACATGCTCACCACTGAGCTATTCTCTCAGCCTTTAACTAAAGCAATATACCCACAGATATAGGAGCAGGATCTAAAAGATCAGTTTTCAGTTGCTGGAGTATATTTCTACATTATACCAACTGAGTTTAATAAATGACTAAAAATGTTACAGTGACCAAATTTTAAAAAATCTTTGAACGAAAATGACATCTACAAAAGATTTTACCAATATAGATAAAACAGTAATACTCCAAACAAAAGAGGGGGCTTAATTTGAACTCTGTACAAAGCAAATTAGAAATGAACTCATCTAAGGCTTCTGTAAAGCAAAGAACATGGTCAACAAGACAAAATGGCTCCCTACAGAATGGGAAAAGATCTTCACCAACCCCACATCTGACAGAGGGCTGATCTCCAAAATATACAATGAACTCAAGAAACCAGACATCAAACTACCAAATAATCCAATTAAAAAATGGGGTACAGATCTAAACAGAATTCTCAACAGAACAATCTCAAATAGCAGAAAGGCACTTAACGAAATGCTCAACATCCTTAGTCATCAGGGAAATGCAAATCAAAACCACTCTGACATACTACCTTATACCAGTCAAAAACACTAATGACAGCTTATGCTGGAGAGGATGTGGAGTAAGGGGAACACTCCTCCATTGCTGGTAGGAGCGCAAACTTGTACAGCCACTATGGAAATCGGTATAGTGAGTTCTTATAAAATTAGGAAGCGACCCACTTCAAGACCCAGCAATACAACTGTTGGGCATATACCCAAAGAAGGCACATTCACACCACAAAGACATTTGCTCAACCATGTTCATAGCAACATTATTCATAATAGCCAGATCTTGCAAACAACCCAGATGCCCTCAACCAAAGGGCATAAAGAATGGATAAAGAAAATGTGGTGTGTGTATATACATATATATATATATACACATACACATACACATACATACATACATACATACACACATGGAGTATTGCTCAGCATTAAGAAACAATGACATCTTGAAATTTGCAGGCAAATGGACAGAACTAGAAAACAAACAGATAACCCAGACCCAGAAAGACAATATAGTATGTACTCACTCATAAGTAGACACCAGACATAAAGCAAATGATACTCAGCCTACAATCCATAACCTCAGATAGTGGAAGTCCTGTATGTTGTTAATGTATGTTTCTCTTATTGGTTGATGAATGAAAACACTGATTGGCCAGTAGTCAGGCAGAAAGTATAGGTACCAGACAAGTAGAGGTACCAGACAAGAAGAATTCTGGGGACAGGACGTAGAGAGGAGTTGACATAGAGACACTATGTAGCTACCAGGAGGATAGGACACCAAGCATTCTCTAGGTCATGCAGAAATACATAGATTAATAGTTATGAGTTAATAATTAAGAGAGCTAGTCAGTAAGAAGCCTAAGCCATCAGCCAAACAGTTTATAATTAATATAGCCTCTGTGTATTTATTTGGGACTGAAGGGCAGCAGGACCAGGCTGGACAGAAACTCCATCTACAAGATGGAAGCAGATGCAGAAATCCACAACTCACCATTGTGCCAAGATACTGGAATACAATTGAAGTGAGGGAGGAATGATAATATGAACAAAGGAGTCAAGACCATGATGGGGAAACCCACATAATCAGCTGACTCAGGTCTGACAAATAGGGAATCTGTGTAAGACCAAACTAGACTCCCTTAATAGGTGACAATATATGAGGTCACTGGCAATGGGTCCAAGATTTAACACTAAAACACAAACTGATTTAGTGGGGCCCATTCTATATGGAGAAATACCTTGTCCAGCCTACACACAGGGGTGTGGGGGATGGGGAGGTGCCTTGGTCCTGCTTCAATGACATGATGGGACAGACTTAGTAGACTTCCTAGGGGAGGTCCTACCCTCTCCGAGGAGCAGAGATGTGAGATGCGGAGAGTGGGGGAGCAGGAGGAGAGGGAACTGGGATTGGAATGTAAGAAATAAATTAAAAATTTTTAAAAAGGAATTAACTCATCTAATTCATATATGGGGAATCTGTCATTCTCATAAATATTCCTTGAGTTTATTGGACAATAAAGCCAAGAACCCCTTTTAACAATCTTTTTTTATTTTTTTAATTTTTATTTATTTATGTATATAGTGTTTTGTATGCATGTATCCTATAGACCAGAAGAGGGCACAAGATCTCATTACCGATGGTTGTGAGCCATCATGTGGCTGGGAATTGAACTCAGGATCTCTGGAAGACCAGTCAGTGTTCTTAGCCACTGAGCCATCACTCCAGCCCCCTTTTAACATCTTAAGTTCTAAAAGTACTCAAACAGCACTTTATACTAAGTACAATAACATCACTTGGTTAGTACATCAACATTTCACAAAGAAAACTTCCACTGAGTTCTGAAAATAATGCTCTCCCTGGGAACTCTCTCCCTGGACAAGAGCCATCGGTATAAAACTAACATTAATAATGCCCACCACAGGTGAAAGTCAAGCATCACCAATAATGGGGCTTATCTCCTTTAGTACAAAGGCACAGAGAGGGATGTGGCTCAAAAGGCAGTACTGGCCTAGATTCACAGCAAGGGAGAGAAATGTTTCCCAGCTTAACACAGACAAGGAACCCTCAATGCTAATCACTGAATACCACTTCTTCCTTTACTTCCTCATAAGTCATTTATCTATTAACACAAGTTAATTAAGACAGCAAAAAAATTCAGGTCATTTACAAACAGTTTATAAAAAGTGATGTGTTACCTCTTGAGGGAAACAGTACCTACTTTCAATATTAAATAGATACCAAATAACTCTTATAAATAACAGAGACTGGAGAGACCTTCAGCCATTAAGAGCACTGGCTGATCTTGCAGAGTACCTGGGTTAGGTTCCCAGGACCCATGTGGTGGCTCACAGCCACATGTAACTCCAGTTCCAGGAGATCCAGCACTTTTTCCTGACCACTACAGGCACCAGCACACATACATAGAGGAAAGCAAAACACTTAAATAAAAAGAAACAAATCTTTTCAAAATCGCTCTGAAATGGAGCTCTTGCCTGGGGGTTAAGAAACTTCAAGTCATTTTCTATCACACACCTTCTCATAGTAGTATCATAGGCTAAAGAAGTCAGGTGAAGAGTTATCAGATCTTTACAACTGGTAAACCTCTTCTTAATCAAAGTCTAGCTACAATTCTCTGAACTTTTTTTGTTGTTGTTGTTATTTCAAGACAGGATACCCTTGCTATCCTGGAACACACTCTGTAGACTAGGGTGGCCTCAAACTCAGAGATTCACCTGCCTCTGCCTCCCAAGAGACAGGATTAAAGGTGTGTGCCATCACACCCTGGCTGGGCCACTTTTTAAATTAGGCTCCATCCATGGTCCCTTATTCTCAGTAGCCTATTAGCAGCAAGAATCCTGCTAGATTGTATTGTTTCTGTTCCTATCTTATCATTCATAGTATCTGACCAAATCCTCTCATATCACACAATCTCACATATAATGTCCAATTACCCTGGCCTGCCTTCAGAAAGAATCCGGCTAGTCAGAGGCTGGACAGATGGCTCAATAGTTAAAACTGCTTGCTGCACAATCCCAGCAACCATGCAACAAGCAGGGGATCCTGTACATACCTGTAATCTCAGCTCTATGTGGGGCCGAGACAAGAGGATGGGTGGGACACGCTAGCTTCCAGCACAGTGCAGAGTATGCAAACCCCAGGTTCAGGGATAGACCCTGCCTCAAAGGACTAAAGCAAAGAGTGATGAGGAAGGGCATGCAATGCCCTCTTCTGGTCCCCCCCACACACACACGTACACATCTGTACACTCACAGACAGACACAGACATACAGACACACAATTTTTTTAAAGAAAACAAACCCTGCTTTACACCGATGTTTCCTTTTAAAAAATTCCCACCCATCCATCATTTTCTGATCCTTGGCAATAAGTTATGGAGAACTGAGTCCAGTTACATACTGAGGTGTCTTCCTCATCATCACCCATTGCAATACTTGTGTTGTGTCAAACTCATTTTCATCTATTTAACAACTGTCCTACTCTACTTTCTCCATCAAAACCAAACTTTGTTTGGAATCAATGTCAAGGCAAAAACAAGTACAACCAGTACACCAAAGATAGCCAGCTTACGTATCTAGAAAACATATTCAAAACTATTAATAACATATCAGCTGAGCTTAAAATTCTCAAGACAATTCACAGAAACAAGCTAACTTAAAAGCAAGTTATATATGTAACTGTGGCCCATTTTTCCTGGAAGACAGATGAGTCTGATACAGGTGAAGACTAAGAAAGATGAACTACCCTCAGAGGTTGAGCAGTGGGAGTGAAAAGAAAATACTCAAAAGAACTAAGATTCATGGCCTCTGTAGGATAAAGATCTGGTCTCAGGTTCTCAGAACACCTAATGGATCTAAACCCTTCTCTGAAAGGTCCTCAGTGGTTACCTTTACTCAGAGCCACTGAGAGGAAGAAGCAGGCAGATCTCTGAGTTTGAGGCCTGCCTTGCCTACAGAGTGCACTCCAGGCCAGCCAAGGCTGTACAGAATAGCCATGTCTTTAAAAAAAAAAAGTCTTCACTCTTTGTCCCTGTCCATGTTCTTTCTCCACACTAAGCACAATTATTTCCATGACAAAAATATGTTAAATGTACCCTCTGTTAGGGGCTTTCAGGAACAAGAGCTGTGGGAGGAGAGGGAAGCTGTGTGTGATAGCTAAGCCACACTAATGTAGCAGTAACAGATTTCTAGGTGATCTGTTGTGCTTTGACTCTCTCAAGAGGTATTTTCCCAAGAGCCACTGAAGGAACTGAAGGATGGCCTATGGGGTCCTGTCAAAGGATCTATCTTCAGGAGTGCAGCACTGCCTGGCTCATCTATAAATGTGGGCATGACCTACAGGGAGGGCAATCTGGCAATGTATTCTGATACATAATAGGACTCCCAATAAACACATTTTATAATGAATTAATGAATTATTCATTAATTTTGGGTCAGTAATCCCATCTCTAGAATGTATCTTAGAGGATAATCAGACAAGGTCAAAAATATGAAAAACAATATAAACTAAGACATCCAAAACAATTACTTCATGATCACTTGATAAAAGTAAATGTTCTTTAGATGATCAAAACATCATGGAACTACTTTATGTACATATTTATATACAACATGCAGGTTCACTGCTCTTGGGGCCAATTTGTTTTGAGAATTCTTATGTTTCCATTTCCCAAAACCAAATTATTTGCCAAATCCCAAGTGAATTCTCAGGTACTATCCTATATTCATATATATAGATAATAATACTAAAAATAGGCCTGCATTAATTCAGTTTGAGTCTTACCACCCAATTAGTACAAATTAGTACAAAACCTATGATTAAACAGGTAAACTTCCTTGAATTTTGGAATTGCAAGTTTAAGTAAAACTTCAAAAAAATATACACCTTCTGCACTTAACATAAAAACCATTACTATTATTGTTAACTGTTGGAATTAAGGATGTTTCATTCATTTTCTAAACTATAACAAACATACATGAAATAAAAAGAAAAGTCAACTTTTACAGAGATAGGTGTACAATACAAATCTACCTGAAAAGCTTATACTGGCTAGGTATAGCTGGTACAGGTACTTGTTGCCAAATATGATGACCTGAGTTTGATCTGTGAATCCCATAAGGTAAAAAGAGAGAACAGACTTCTGCAAGTTGTCATCTGACAGTCAATCATGCCACCACACAATTTACACCCTCCCCCCCCCCTCTCTCTCTCTCCTCCCTCTCCCTCTCTCCTCTCTCTCTCTAAAATTTGAAAATCTTAGGAAGAACTCTGCCTCAACACAGCGAGTAAACTCTAGAATATAGCTACCCAGTACATAAACTAGTATAAGAATGGGGAGACTCCTAGCACTCGGGAGGCAGAGGCAGGTGGATCTCTGTGAGTTCGAGGCCGGGCAGGACCGACAGCCTTCAAAACAATACAGAGAAACTCTGTCTTGTAAAACCAAAAAAAAAAAAAAAAAAAGAATGGGGAGACTCAGAACAGACCTCGGGCTACTTCTGACCACATCTCTACATCACAGTGCTGAGTAATCACCATAAGCCAAACAAACAAATTATCTACAGAGGGTATCCAAAGCTTCAAAGCTGATTTACTGTGACAATTCATGGCTAAGTGGATCAGCAATCTAGTTGAGTGATCATTCAAAATAGGCAAATCTCAACTCTTCACATAGTTCAGACTTATTACTAGAGTGCACACTCTACCCGAATTGTAACTAAACACAAAAGAAGAGAAAAGACATGAAAGCCATCTACTTCTGAAACACAAATTACAAAAAGGATGTCAACTCACTCCTCTGACCCAATGCCCTTAGAATTATAACTGATACTTCAGATGTGTATTTATACACCCTTAGAATGTAAGAAAGCAAACTGATAAACTCTCAGTCTACAAGTCCCCCGTGTTTACCAAAAGCTAGGTTAAAATAATCCATCACAGTATAATATTGCATTGCTGCATCAAATAAAAATAGCATCTAATTCACTGTATAAAAAATTGCCACTATACTAAGACATATGCAAATTTCACTTAACTACAAGTTATGAGGCCATTAGCATACAGTAAAAGGAGACAATCCATTGAGGCTCACTGGTATCTTATTTTGTGAAGATCTACCCAAGAAGAAATGCCCATCTTACCCTTATACAAACCCAACAGTGACTCTCAGAAATCAACTGACTATTCTTATGTCAAAGAGTATTCACTACAGCTCATTTGTGATGGTAAGTTTTTGCAAGCTTGGGTCATCTGGGAAGAGGGAACCTCAAGAAAATGCTCCCATAAGACTGGCCTGTCTACAAGTCTGTGGAGTTTTGTTAAACATGACTGATGTGGGAAGGCCCAGTCCACTGGGGACAGTGCCACCCCTGGAATGTATAAGAAAGCAAACTGAGAAAGCCACAGGGAGCAAAGCAGTAAGCAGAACTCCTCCACGGCTTACTTACACTTCGGTTATTCTTTCCAGGTCCCTGTCTTTCCTCATGATGGACTGACTGTGTGTAAGGTGCAAGCTGAAATAGACCTTTTCCTGCCCACGTTTTTTTTTTTTTTTGTCTTAAGTCTTGGGTTCAATTTACAAGTCTCATTTTAAATTCATATACCCTCATCATACTTACACACCCAACATAAACAAAGCAAAATATACTGTTTGGTATTTGCATCAGTTTATTACTATTTTTCTGTATAGTTCTAATCACTAACACACCATATACTTTCCATTTATGCATTATTTGTATCTCCATCCTATTCATACTAAACTCTGTAGACTCTTACAATCCTTTAACAATATTTTAGCAAATGTAATATCCACGAAAACAAGACTAATTCTATTTTATACCATATACTCTTAAATGACAGACTTTAAAAATCAGTCTTCATTGTAGAAGCGTTATCTGTGACATTTTCTATGTCACTCTTCTTAACGCCTTACAGACACAGGTAAGCACTCTGTCTGAACAAACAATGGAAGCACTGGCAAGTAAAAGAATACTTACCTTCACTGCTACGTGAAGTTTTGCTGTTTTCTTGGATGGTCCTGAGGCTTCATATGTTGTGCCATCCACATCTACAGACATTGTAAAGACTGGGGCATGGACTGGGCCAGACTGTGACAAAAGCTTATATTGAAGCCCAGGCCTGATTTGATTTAACCTCATTAGTGCATTCATAAGGTCTATTGCTTTACTGTCCAGAACTATGAAAGAAAATTAGATTAGAAATTAACTAGAAAGACATTTTGCTTCAAACTGTACATCTGTAGCTCTCATTAACCACTATAAATTCCCTATGTGATGGTCTACAAAGATGGATCAACAGCTAAGAACACTTGCTCTTGCAGAAGACCTCGATTCAGTTCCCAGAATCCACATCATGGTGGTTCACCACCACCTGTTAACTACATTTCTAGGGTATTTGATATCCTCTACTGACTTCTTCAGGCAACGGGCATGGACACGGTGCTAATACATGCATGCAGATAAAACATTCATATACATAAAATCAACAAATATAATGTTTTTAAATTTCTCATGTGCTTACAAAAATGAAAATTTAAAATACAAATTCACTCCATAAGCAATCTTTAAATTTCTTATATTAATATGATGGTAAAAATAATGTCCCATTGATATCTAGTTTCAGCATTGATGTCTTAAGCAATGAAACTCAGAAACTCAAAGTTCACCAATTACCAATTTTGTCAACTACAGTCTATTCTTAAAATTCTAATTCAAGTCAATGAAACTCTTCATTTCTTATATTTCTGAAGCTATAAACATTCTCCAGTTCCTTAATAAGAATAAAGATTTACATACTTTTCCTTAAGTTTCGTTTCATCTTCTTATTGGGATCTTTATCATCCCCTAATCCATCTTCAAATGGCCTCTTTAGAGCTGAAGACCCAGCACCTACAAATAATTTTGAGATCTTCACTGTCAGTTAAAAGAAGAATCTTTTCAATGTTTGAGTGGAAAAAAAATATCAAAATATCAACACAAGTTTATCAAGGATCAATTAAAATACATACTAGAATGTGAATGTTCTTTTGAAACCACTTATCATTTATCAGTCCTACCATTGGAAAAGAATACCTGGGGCTAATCACAGTAATCAGGGAAAACATGGACTAACATTTAGAAACAGCAAGTCACTTTAACCTTCATGGTCCAGAAATGAAAAGAAATCAATTCTGAGGTCTGGCACCATCTTTAGTCCTTACGACTTTATCCTCGAATGCACTCAAAACCATTACCCTTTATTATTCCCACTATAAACTCATACATTCATCTATTCAATAACAAGCATTTCCAGCATTTACTACATATAGGCAATATTAAATGTAACAGGGGCAAACAGTAGCCCTATTCTCAAACAGCTTAGTCACAAGTGGTAGAGACTAATCAACATGCCATGTAACGGTGAGGCAGGCACACACAGGAGTTTCAGTACCTAGGACCCCAATTTGGTTTTGGCTGTGTATACAGATTCATACACACACACACACACACACACACACACACACTTCAATAGTGTACTTGGATGCACTCTCACCCTGGTCTCTTGGGGGAGGGTCTAAGCCCTGCCCTGAATGAAATGACAGACTACGAACACTCCCCATGGAGGGCCTCACCCTTCCTAGGGAAATGAGGGGATATTAGAGGGGTTGTTGGGAGACGGGGGAGGGTGGGAGGGAAAGGGAGAGGGACCTGGAATTGATATGTGAAGCAACCTTGTTTCTAATTTCAATTTAAATTTAAAAATAAAAATTAAAAAAATAGTGTACTTGGGCATCCTAGTTCCTTACCCTTCACATAGTATGGATACATATGCATATCAAAAAACGCACTTAAGAAACCTCAGAATGCCCTCACTCCACAAACTGCATTGGCAATATGTACTCCATCTCTGAATAATAGCTGAAATTTCTTCACCCCTAGTAGCACTCAAATATAGACAATTTCTAAGCAAGTGTATTCCCAACATGTGCAAGTATAAACAACAGAAGAACAGATTTATTCTGAACAGATGTGTGCCAAGTAAGGTAAAATTGTGCCTTCTGATAAACTTAAGAAGAATTACCCCCATTAACACCTTATGCTATGCATAAGTGGGTATACATATGAATAAGAGTCAAATGCATTATGGCAAGGGACATGCACAGTTGAAAAAAAAAGTTTGAACTAATCTATCAAATTATAGTGCTACCCAAACTACACCCATTTATAACCAAACTCCATTCCTTAACCCCATAAAAGGAAGCCCCAAACAATAATTGGGTCCTTAAGTATGCTCACTCATGGGTCAATTTTTACAGTTTACCCCTCAGATCTGCACTGCTGCTTTGTTCCAAATTAAGTTATCTTGCTCCTTCTGCTAGTCTGTGTGAACCCTTAACTCTAATGGATCAGAGATCAAAAACTTCTGAACATTTGGCCCAGACCCTGACCACCTATAAAAGTAGTGGGTTCAATAAAGAACTGTAAGAGGAGTTTCTCAGTAGTCAATAGAGAACTCAAGACTGGATTCTGGCCTAAATACAGAAGATGAAAAATGCCCAGAGCCTGGGAAAAAGAAGGGCAGACTCACAGAGTGAGAGTTCAGATTTTAGGGGCTGAGCAGTTAAGAGCAATGGCTGCCCTTCCAGAGGACCTGGCTTGGTTTGATTCCTGCGCCTACACAGGCAGCTCACAACCATCTGTGACTCCAGTCCTAGGAGATCTGGTGCCCTTTTTGAACCTCCTCGGGTAGTAGGCACATACAGGATACACAGACACACACATAGGTAAAACACTCAGCACAAAAATTAATTTTTTAATTTTAGATTTTAAACATATTAGGTCTGAGGTGCTATTTGGCTACATATTCCTGTGAAGACACACTGGATTGGACAGCTAGTAACCAGATGCAAATATAAACATATGGCCATCTTTGTTACAAAGACAGATGACTAAATCAATCAGTATAAATAAAGACAAAAGGCTGAGGGATTAAATTCTGGGAAATTTTTAGTATTCAGAATTCAGAAAAACTAAGAAGAAACAAAACTAAACTAGAAGCTGGCACTGGGGTTAGAAGAGCCAAGAGAAAGCAGTCACGTGATACTCGATTGAAAAGTAGTGTTTCATGTCACAAAGTATCTGGCAACACCAAATGCAGCGAACAGTCGGCAAGAGGAACTGTCACACACTGCTAGAGGAAGGACAACCTAGGTCCATATTTGCTACCTGTAATATTTTCAAGACGCACATATACATGAAAGTATTCACAGCAACCTAAAACCCTTCAAAAGTCAGGTGAATAAATCGTGACAAGTTCATAATGGATACCACAGAACTATTAAGATGACAAACTAGTGCAACACCTAGAATTAATCTCAAACAATACTGGACAAAAAGGCTAAGTTGGTACAGTTTCATTTCTAGAAAGTTTAAGGCAAATTAAATTACTGAAGAAAGCATATCTAGGTGGGAAAGTCAGAAAGAAAATCTAGGAAAACACTGTCTACAAGTCAGGACTGGAGTGCACATGCCAAGAACATAAAAGGGTGGGATACATGGATGGTGCCTGAGGAATAGACAATGCTCTTGTTTGATTATGCAAATAACTTTTAAAAATAATTATTTGGGGGGCTAGGGAGATGACTCTGTGGTTAAAAGCACCAGTTACTTTTCCAGAAGACCTGGTTTCAATTCTCAGCACCCACATAGCAGCTGACTCTAACTCCAGTACCAGGAGCTCTGACACCTTCCTTCTGGTCTCAACAGGTACCAGGTATTCATGTGCTGAACAGACATAAATGCAGGCAAAATAGACACATACATAAAATTCAAAAAATAAGTACTCATCTGTGTCAAAGTTGCAGCAGGATAAGATAAGGGCTCAAGCAAACCACCCAATGCGGTAAGGGAAAGGTTCCAGACAATACTTCAGCAGTGATGAGGAAGAGAGCCTGATAAAACAAGCTCATAACAGAAAAATAGCTAAAGTAGTGTTCTCAAGAGGATCTGAAAAATGGGACTCTGTTCAGGGGTAGGAATTAAGAGTGAATTTACTTGGATTTAGGAAAATAACATAGTGGATGGAATTCATGCTGTAAAGAAAAGACAGAGAAGGTACAACATATTACACAAGTAAAAACAACTGATCATCAAATAAGGATGTTGGACAGAATGTTGAGAATATGTACAAGTTACCTTCAGGCACTGCTCCTCTAAAGAGAAGCAAACAAGGTCTCCCAATGGGAGTAGGGGGTCATAGAGGCGCTATGAAATGAGATGTGTTAAAGTTTTCAAGGAGTATGAGACAACTCTTCCACTTGCAGAGAAGTATCAGACAAAACAAACAGTCCTCCATAAGGAAAATGCCTTATGGAAAAGAGTAGTCAAGATGGCTCTATGCTTTTTTTCCTCAACCGTGTTCAGCAATGTAGTATGGAGAGAAAATGGATTTCAACTAGTTAAAATATCAACAGGAGATCCAGTAAGGAGAACCCAGAACCAGAAGCTGTACGGTAGGAAGAGATCATGATGATAAGCCAGAGAATACACAGTGAAGACACAAGTAAGACCATGAAGAGAATTCAGGCACTATCACTGCTAAAGACGAATTTCTAGAGCAAGGGGCTAAGGTGCAGAAAAGTGTATGCCAGGCAATTGAAATTTGAGAGGAAAAACACCATATGAGTGAATACTGAAAAAAAATTATAGAGATGGAATCATTTCCCTATCAACCACACTACCTACTGAGCCAGCCTGGAACCATGAGATATCCAAACCCAGAGTCTGAATAGGAACTCCCAGAGCTAATCTATTGACTAGCCTGACTGACAACTACCTATGCCTCAGGGTAGTGTAGAGCTCCTAGAAACCCAGTTGAGGCCCCCAGAGCCAATTCCATGCATTCCTGCCCATCAATCCACTACGGCACTCAGAATGAATGGCCCCAATACTGAAAACCAGGTATCATTCAACAGATCCACAACATGACAAGTTGGGATACCAGAGAACAAAGATCCAAACACACATTCAACAAAGGCAAGACCAGGTATCCTCAACACTACTAATGGGCCTAACTCGAGCTGCCTAGATTTCATTACAAAAACACAAACAAGAACATCCAAGACAGTATGCCTCCTCTAGAAATTAATACCCAATTATAATATTCCCTATAAAAAGCAACTATGCTGGTGCACAAAACAATGACTTCAAAATGGTATTATAAATATATTCAAGAAGCTCAAAGAGGATATAAATAAATAAATGCCTGAATAAAAACTGAGAAAACATAAACAGCTGAATGAGAACAAATCAATATAAAAGTATAATTTAATACATACTCTATAAAGAAAAGTCAAACAAAACTTCAAATGAAAAAAGTCAGGAAGTTAGCTGGGAGTAATGGCATACACCTTTAATCCCAGCCCTCTGGAGGCAGAGGTAGGTGGATCTCTCTGAGTTTTAGGCTAGCATGGTCGACAGAATGAGTTCCAAGACAGTCTGAGCTACACAAAGACATCCTGTTTCAAAAAAAGAGGGAGGGAGGGAAGGAGGAAAGGGAGAGGGGAGGGAAGGGAGGAAGGAAGGGAGGGAAGGGGGGCTGGTTGGTTCAGGAGGTCAAATAGAAAGATCAGGGGAAAGGATTGAACAAAGCACATGCCAAGGAAGGGTGAACGCCATGTCTCAAAGACAAAGAGGAAGTTAATCACTCAGTTAAAAAAATAAAAAAGTTAAATCAAAACAAACAAAAAGAAAAAAAAAAAACAAAGAACAAATCATCCAAGAAATCTGGGGCACTATGGAAAGACAAAACTTATGAATACAAAGTAGAAAAGGAGAAGAAACCTAGGTCAAAGGCACAGAAAACAATTTCCCAAAAAAAAAAGTAAAAGAAAATTTCCCAAATTTAAGGAAAGAGATGCTATCAAAGTACAAGAGGCATACAGAACCAAATAGAATGGGGGTGCAGGTAGAAGACAAAACAATAAAAATACTAAATGTACACAACAAAGAAAGGTTATTAAAAGCTTCCAAAGAGAAGGGCGAAGTCACATACAAAGGCAGGCTCATCAGAATAATAGTTTCTCAACAGACTTTGAAAGAAAGGCATGGTCTGATGTTCTACAAGTTTTTGAATGACCACAGATGTCAACTATTATACCCAACAAAACTTTCAATCATAACTGGAAGAGAAAGTAAAATACTTCATAATTAAAAACAAATTTAAGGAATTCATATCTATTAAGCCAATCCAACAGAGGATACTAGAAGAAATACTTAGGTCTAAAGAGAAGATCAAACATACCCAAGAAAAAGGAGGAATAAAGAACCCCAGAACAGCTAACCATAAGGTTCTAAAAATTGAATGCTACCATCACAACAAAGTAACAAAAATAAAAACTGCTCAATAGCAACTCTAAATAGGAACAATCTCAATTTTCTGATAAAAAAACAGACTAACAAAGGGATTTTAAAAACAGGATGTCTTTTTTTGTTGCCTACAAGAAACACATCTCCTCATTACTTTAGGGTAAAAAGACAAAAGAAGATACTCCAAGCAAACAGAACTAAGAAACAAACAGGCTATTCTAATACCAAACAAAATAGATTTTTAAACCAAAACTAGACAGGGCAGAAAAAGGCATTTCATATTCTAAAGGAAAAATTCACCAGGAGCACATTACAGTTCTAAACATTTATACAACACAGGGCCACCCAATTTTGTAAAAGAAATAATCTAAAACTCACAGATTGACGCTAACACAGTTAAAGTGTGTGACTCCAATAACCCACTCTCGCCAATAGGTTATCTAGACACAAACTACACAGAGAAACTCTGGAGTTAAGTGACGTCATAAATCAAATGGACCTAACAGAACATTCTATGCAAACACTAAAGAATTCACTTTCTTCTCGGAAGGCCCATGGAACTTTTTCTAAAACTGACCACATATTAGGACACAATGTAAGTCTCAACAAATACAGGAAAACTAAACATCCTGCATCTGATCTGGTCACAAAGGTATAAAGCTGAATTCCAACAACAGAAATGGCATTAAAACAGACAAACTCATGGAAACAAGACAACAAGGTACTGAATGAAGATTGGGTGAAGGGAGAAATCAAAAAGGAAATTTAAGTGAGGCAGCAGTGGCAAGACAAGAGACAGGCAGATCTCTGAGTTCAAAGCCAGCCTGGTCTACACAGTGAGTTCCAGAACAACCATGGGGGTGTAAAACTTCGTAGAATTGAACCAAAATAAACACACAATATAACATATCAAAATATACCAAACCCAGTGAAGGCAGTTCTAAGAGGAAAGTCCATACCACAGTGCTATCAAGAAACTGGAAAGATCTCATATTAATAATTTAATAATATACTTGAAAGCTTAAGAAAAACAAAAAACAAGAAGAAACACCCAAAGAAAGTAGACAAGATGAAATAATCAATCCAGGGTTGAAATTAATGAAAAAGGAAAGAAAAATAACACAAAATCAATGATATAAAGAGATGGTTCTTTGGGGGAAAACTAAAACCAAAACTGACAAAACCTTTAGTCAAATTTATCACAAGGAAGGATGTAATCCAAATTAGGATCCAAATTTAGAGAAAAGGGCTGGAGAGACAGTTCAGAGATTAAGGGCATTAGTTGCTGTTGCAAAGGACCTGGATTCATTTCCCAGCACCCACATAGTGGCTCACATCATTCATAATTCCAATTCCACAGCATCCAAAGCCCTCCTCTGGCCTCCATGAACACCAGGCACACATATGGCACACAAATTTACATGCTGGCAAAAAACACTCATACACATAAAAAATTTTTAATTGTAATTAGAAACGAAAAGGAGACATTACAACACATGAGAAAATACAGAGGAACGTAATAACTCTGAAATTATTTCATAAAATAGACACTGAAAGAATATTTATGGTCTTCTTACAAAGTCATTATTTTCAAAATCACACAAAGAACCAACAAAAGAAAATGACAAGCTAAGACTTTTGATGAACATAGATATGAAAGTCCTCTATAATATTTGTAAGCTGAATGCAGGCATATATTTTTAAAAAATCATTAGGGCTGTAGAGATGGCTCAGAAGTTAAGAGCACTGGCTGTTCTTCCAGATGTCCTGAGTTCAAGTCCCAGTAATCACATGGTGTCTCACAAGCATGTGTAATGAGATTTGACGCTCTCTACTGGCATGCATGAATACATGCTGGCAGAATATTGTATACAGAATAAATAAATCTTTAAAAATAAAATCATCAAACATGATTGAGTCAGCTTCATCCCAAAGATGTAGGTATGGTTCAACATACATAAATCAATAAACAATCATATAAACAGACAGAAGGATAGAAACCACATGATCATCTCATTAGAGGCAGAAAAGGCCTTTACCAAAATCTAACTTCCCCTCACGATAAAAGTCCTGAAGTCCTCAACATAATAAAGGCAATTTACCACAAAACCATAACCAACATCATTCTAAACTAAAACCAAAACCAGTAACAAAACAACTATCTCCATTGCCATTCAATATATTGTATATAATCTTAGCTAGAGCAGTTAAATTGAAGATCAAGAAGATACAAGCAGGAAAGGAAGATGTCAAAATAATGGTATTTGCAAACAGTATGATTTTAAACATAAAAGACCCTTAAAGACGCCGGGCGGTGGTGGCGCATGCCTTTAATCCCAGCACTCGGGAGGCAGAGGCAGGCGAATCTCTGTGAGTTCGAGGCCAGGCTGGACCGACAGCCTCCAAAACAATACAGAGAAACCCTGTCTTGTAAAAAACCAAAAACAAAAAAAAAAAAAAAAAAAAGACCCTAAAGACACCACCAAGAAATTTCTACAGCTCATAAGTACATTCTGCAAACAGGATACAAAATTAACAGACAAAACTCAGCAGCCTTGCTAAATAGAAACAAACATGCCAAGAGAGAAATAAAGAAAACAGCATTCATATAGCATGTGTGCACGTTCCTGTGTCTGCATGTAGACACACACGTAGACACACACACACACACACACACTCACACACACACACACACACACACACGATCTCTGAATAAGTCTTAACTATGAAAGCAAAAGACATAATAAAAACTTTAAGACACTGAAAAAGAAATCACAGAATATGCTAGAAAATGGAAAAACATTTCAAGAACTCCCTAAAACTGACCAGATTCACTATGTCCCTCTCTGCCAGAGCAAGCATAGGCCAGCTACAAATTCTGGGACAAGAAGAGCTGTCTGGAAGAGGTTTAGAGCAACTGAGGCAGCTAGAAAGATACTCCCCAGCCTGCTGAGCTGCCGCTCCACGTTTCCCTGCTTGCTGTGAGCTGACAACCACGCTGGGGTGGTCTTGGTGATGCAGCTGCCTCTAAGTCATTTCTGATCCTGTGAGTAACACCAATAAAACTCACTGGTTCACCAAGTTGGGACTTTGGTGGTATCTGTACTTTGGTCTCTCATGAGTTCCCTCTCTGGGGTGGGAAGATGAATGTGTTTCATGTACCCAGGAAACACTTTGTCACACAACAAGTACAGGCAGACAACTACAAACAGGTGATCATGAATTTTCCAATTCATATTTCTCAACCAAAATTATTTTTGTTTCTCTTTCTTTCTACAAAACACATGCAAGCTTTAGAAAGTTCATCACACTGACCAGTGACGGGGACAATATCTCTTCTTCACGTATGGTCTATCTCCTCTTAGATCAGAAGCTTAAAGTATGGTTAAGTCTATGCAGTAACAAAATCTAGCAACACGGGAAAATAAGCTGATCACTAATTAGAACAACTGAGACAGAAGGCTGAAATCATTGATGTTTTACACAGAAGCCATTTAAGTTAAAAAGAAAAGCAGTGATTTAGATAATCAATGTTTAAGCTACCTAAACAAGGTGTACAACCATCATTTTCAATGTTAACCATCAACTCTAGTCAAAAACAAAAATAAACAAAACAACTTTCATACTCACCTTCTTTATCAGTAACCGACCAGGAATACTTCTGAAAAGGCTTACTAGACGGAAGGGGGTCCATCTCCAGCACTTTATAAATCTGGCCAAAGGCTGATAGTCTAAGTGCATGCTAAAGAATAAAATATATTTAATCAACTCTCAACAGCCATTCTAGCTTATATGACACTTAAATGGCATTCTTTACATACTGACATTCTATTGGTAGAATTCCCTAACTTAGACATACAGGAAAGGCAGGCACACAACAAGAATTCAGAAATGGGAGTCATGGTATCTTTCTAAGCAGTCAGGGCTACACCAGTCTCACACCTGTGCACTATGAGTGATTTCTTCTTTTTGCTGAGTGGTCATGTAGCTCAGAGCATCTGTTGGGTCTCGCTCACAAGGATCATGAAGGCCAGGACCCCCTTTGGCAAAAACAAGGAAAAATAAAAAATTTAGAAATGAGTTTTGAACATACAAAGTAACAAAAGAAAGAAGGCGGGAAAAAACTGAAGAACTAAGTTTAAAATCTTCTCTTATAAGTACAATATTAAGGACAATCTGCCATTTGCAGCATAAACTCCTAACTGTCCTTATTTACCACAGCATGATAAATTATCCCTAATGTTTAAATGGATTACATATTTAATGTTTCCAAATTTAATACTAGACTGAAATGAAAATGAACTTCATACTTTTCATATAAGCATTTACATTTACATTTCCAAATTCAGATTTGTAGATGAAGCAAATGCATAGCAGACACAGTATCTATTAGTACCCTTTATGTTAGTACATATAAAACACAATTAGAACTATGGAAAAGCTTTACAGCACTCTTCCACACACAAACATTCTAGTTGCTAAAATTCCAAAGAACACAACTCCTACACGTCATTTTTCTCTGCAGAGGACAAACATTTAGCATATGTTTAGATATGTTTAGATAAGTTAACTAAAATGAGATTTTTTTTTCTTATTCTTCTGCCTTGAGAGTTTGAAACCCTTACCAGGAAGTAGTATTCCAGATGCCAAACACTCCATTACTCGTCTCAAGGCCTCCCCAGCGCCCAAAGGTCTATTACAAGTACCTATAGACTTTTCACATATAAGCTCTAGTGGCTAGAAGATATTAAATTACAAATTAGTACATGCACCAAGTGTTAAAAGGATTCCAGTTAAATGTGAGCTGACATTTCTATCTAAAAGGGAAGCCAAACAATATAGACAATTTAATATTTAAGGTCCGTTTAACCCTTCCATGATTATCTACTCTAATCCAAACATTTTTTAAAATAAATTATTTTTAGATATTTTCTGAAAATACGAGACAAAAACTTTGATTATAGTTACAAAAAATGAAGAAATCATAGTCATATAATTCATTTAAGATTAACAAGCTTTCACATGAGTAACAGCTAATAAATAACCAAGGTAACAACTATCTAAATCCCTCTTAAGGAGCAAGCAACTTTTATAGTTGCTCTTATAGTTGAGTTCATTCATATAGCCTGCTCCCAGAACAATTAGAGTAAACAAAGAATGACATCTCTGTATTAGATAAAATGAAGCCTGTGATGTTGCATAAATGTTCATATTTGCTCATTTTTTTAAATGAGCCTTTACAACTATAAATTATTTTCATAAATTTTTAAATTGTAGTCCTGACTAGATCAGGCATAATAATTTCCAAATTAAGTCAATGTTACAATATATATTATGTTCCTAATTAGTAATTAATATCAGGCAAACACTGCACTTAACTAATTGCAGATATAGTTTATTATATATATACATACATACATACATACATACATATATATATATACACATATATTATAACCTTGCATTGAACCTAACATGTTAGATATGTTTCTACATTTCATGAGAATTACAAAAGACACCAGTTTATCAGATAATCTCCACAGAAATGTAACAACACACTGAGGGCAATGGACCAGCCAAGAAGGCTATGATGGGCAGCAAGTGATTCATGAGTGATCAATGATCAGTTCAGGACTTACTTCTAAAAGGTATACAACCTTTAGATGAGATAAATATGTGTGTGTGTGTGTGTGTGTGTGTGTGTGTGTGTGTGTGTGTGTGTGTGTGTGTGTATACATAAAGAGAGATAAAGAAGGGGAGGGAGATTTAAAAATTTTATATACATATGTCTAGAACACAAATGACAAGACAAAAGAGGCAAGTGATATGCATAAACTGTAATGCATGATTCATAAAACTGTAATTCTAGGGCAAAATAAGACAACGAATGCCTTAACTAATTCAAAAGATTGTCATTCTATAGTAACATCATTTCTAGAATTTCCTCTGCTATAGCTTCAGATTTGTTTTTTAATCACATTTTAAGTACTTACCCATCCTTTCAATGGTGCCCATGTGGGTACTCTGTTGCACAAATCACGTAGAATGCGGAGGACAATAACACACGATTTTAATCCATTTGCCCTTGCCTAAAACAAAAAAATGATTCCAATAGCCCTGCAGAAATCCATTCCTCATTTGAAATACACTGACCACAGATAAGTTTGTTTTAATGAATCCCAATTAGCAAATAATTTACTGGTTTTCAAGCAAACCAAAAAAATCAAGTTATGAAAAATAGCAAGTTATAGTTCAGAAAGTCATGTTTTCAAGTAAAAGGAACATAACATAAAAATGTTTTGTGAACTCATGACAACCTTATTCTAGGCACTATCTTAACTTTCAGCTTTCCTGTGTTTATATTTTACAATCCATCATCTACTATTCAGAATAATAAGCCAAAAAGAATTACATGATAACAAAACATCATGGAGAGATAAGATAGCACAATGGGTGAAGTACTTCCCATGCAAGCATGGCAGCTTGAATTCAACTCGCAGAGCCTATGTTTTAAAAGTCAGGCATGATGGCAAACACTTAGAATCTCAGTGTTGGGGAAACAGCAATAGAAGATCCCTGGGGCTTACTGGCCAGTCAACCTAGACTGCTTGGTAAGTTCTAGATCCCAGTAATAGACCCTACCTGAAAAAGTAAGGTGGTCAGCTCCTGAGAAATGACACTGAAGGTGACCTCTGCTGCATGCTCACCCACCCTCCCTTCCTCCCTCCCTCCCTCCCTCCCCCTCCCTCTCTCTCTCTCTCTCCCCCACCCTCTCTCTCCTTCTCCCCCACCACCACAATGGAAGCTATTTTAGGCACTTTATCCAAAGGAACTGATTTACTCCAACAATAACACTAGGAGCTACAAAGTATGTCCATTTCATACAGAACACAGAAAACACTAACTGGCAGATGTTCCAAATACAATCAACACAGAACAGTAAGGAAATAACAAAGTGCCAACCTGAAACCATTTTGCATGTCGAAGAGAAGCCAAGGCATTCAGACATTTCTGCCTGTCCAGTAAGTCCGGAGGATCTTTCATCATAATATTTTCTAGTAGTAAAATGGGATAAAGGAAAACATATAGTTTGAGGGTTCTTAAAAAATCAATAACAACCAAAAGAAAGTAGCATTTGAGTGAACTTACAATTGACTCCAGAAATGTTCATATTTGGTTTTTTGTTGCTTTTTTTTAATTAAGTACACACTATTTAAACAAATAATCATCAGATTCTGTGCAAAAGTATAAGGCAAAGTAAAGGAATTCATTCAGCAAAGGAATCAGTGACCACTACTTCTTATAAACAACAAGGGATCTTATTAATGAACATGTACACCATCATAGAAAACAAAATAAATACACAGCACTTTTTCATTTGTCAAGATACAAAGAAGAACATCTGAGAACAATAGCAATAAAAACAACTTTTTTTGTTTTTGTTTTGTGAGACAGGGTTTCTCTGTGTAGCTTTGGAGTCTGTCCTGGCTCTGTAGACCAGGCTCAAACTCACAAAGATCTAGATCTACCTTCCTCTGCCTCCTGAGTTCTAGGATTAAAAAAAATTAATAGAAAAATTTTGATAACTGATCAGGGTCTTTAAAAAGTTGGACCTCTTATAAAATAGTAAAATTGAGTAGGCTGAAAGTATACTGAATGTGACCAAAAAAGAAATTACTTGCTTCTAAACAATCCCAGTCACTACAACCACTACCACTAGAAACTAGACTCCACTGATGAGAATCTCAACAGTCACCTTCAAAATTCATTCAGTACTTCTTTTTGGAGTCAAAAATTTAAAACTACAAATAAAAAATAAATAGAAATGGATTTCATATTTATCGATCTCTTCTTCTTTAACACAACTCATAGACTGCTACATAACCATGGTTGTTTGATTTGTCTTACTATTTCACAATTGTTTGAGATGGTAAAAAAACATGGTTCACAATAAACCCACATATTTGAGATGTCACCTGATACTAAATCCAAGTTTCTATCACCAAATTCATTTCCACTAAATATGGAGATGCAGGTTAATTTTTGAAGTCTTGATGCATTTAATAATAAGTACAGTTCTACAAATGGATTCCTACAGAAGGGTTGTCTAACCCTGACTAAGATTCATCATTCTCTCTTAAGAATGATTTCAAATATGAATCCCACCAACACTGCTCAATATTCTCAAACAGTAGATACGGAGTACACTGCATGATTCAAGGGATATAAATATCTTTAGATGGTGCACAAGAGCATGGATACTTTTTGGCTTCCTAAGTTATCAGTGACTCTATAGTGACAAGTCTAGTGTTTAATTCTACTAGTTAAAACGTTACTAAACCTGAAGGCATAATGCCCAATTAAAACCACAACTATAAAAGGAAGAACTGTGGATTCCCTGTGCTGCTGCCAACACTAACCAATGATGTGCTACACACTTATTTCCTGCCAAGTGAACTTCATGGCAGATGTTTGCATTGTTTCCCATTAACCTCTGTTAACAAAAATCACAACATGAGGTCTTATTACATTACTGATTTCTACTAATAAAATCAGAAGCTTCTAAATGAATCATCAATGTGAACTTGTTTATAAACCAAAAAAAAATATGGTACTCACAGGTGTTCTAGCTCCTGGACTGGTGTTTACAGGCACAAAATATACAATTGAGTCATTTTAATATTTTATCATCATCTGTGTAAAGCTCATATAAAAGGTAAAATATGCCTGAGTTATTAAAATATTCTTTTTCTTTTCTTCTTTTGTTTTGTTTTATTTTTTGAGACAGGGTTTCTCTATGCAGTCCTTGCTATTCTGGAACTCACTCTGTAAACCAGGCTGGCCTCTAACTCAGAGATCCACCTGCCTCTGCCACCACCACCTGGCAAGTTATTAGAAAGGCAGATATGACCAAGGTTGACTGACTGCTAAGAAACATAATCCAAGTTGCTTGGTTTGCTTTTTTTTTTAAACTTCAATTTTTAAATTAACAGAGAAGTGAATTAGGTTTTATTCTGTCATCTGACTGAGCCCAGACATCAGAAAGAGGCTGACAAAAGAAGAGGGAACAGAGGTTAAGACTCAGGACCCAGAGCCCCTTCCTCACCTTCAAGTGTGTTGTCAAATGCCAGAGATGCTAAGTACCTTACCCTGATTGTGACACACATATTCTCAACGGTGACAAGACAAAGATATTTTGATGACTTCTTTCATCTCAAAATCAGGTTACTACCATGAACTCTTATTTTAAGTAATAATAAAAAAAATCAAGACATTAGCTTGCTACAGTCAGCATTTGAAAACAACAGATCTTACTAAAAAGAGATGAGAAGGAAAAGCACTGGACTAGAGCAGGTTCCTCTTACATCGACATCAAAATGGTCATGTTTCTTCATGTTCTGACAGTCAAAGGACCCAAAAGGTTTTACTATTCCTGAGACTGGAAACAGCAGGACTGTAACAATACATTTTATCTTCAGAGTCTTGTATTATGTGACTCATAAGCACATGGCGTTACAGTGCTACTCAGAGCCAACAATATACTTTTACATATTTTCACTGATTTAAAAAAAGTGACAATCACAGAACTATTGCTGGGAAAACAATATCCTCAAGTTTAATGTTTCAGGACTTTAATACAGGTGTGTGTGTTTCAACTTTATTAGATAAACAAAGACTTTACTTTTTAAAAAAATCTTGCCATTAATTAATTCAAAATAGCAGAACTGCTGGGCTTGTAATCTAAACACTTTTTTTTTTTTTTTTTTTTTTTTTTTGGTTTTCCAAGACCGGGTTTCTCTGTATTGTTTTGGAGGCTGTCGGTCCAGCCTGGCCTCGAACTCACAGAGATCCGCCTGCCTCTGCCTCCCAAGTGCTGGGATTAAAGGCATGCGCCACTACCGCCCGGCTCATCTAAACACTTTTAACCCCAGCACTTTCAAGAGACAGGTGGACAGTTCCAGCCTGGAATTCCAAGTCAGGGGTACATAAGAAAATCCTGTCTTAAAAAAACTAAAAAAATAATAATCAATAAATGAATAAATAGAATTTGGAACTATGTACATTTCACTTGCTTTGTAGGAAACATAAGAAATAGCACAAAAATGGGCAAGTATTGACAACAATGTCAAATGCAAAGAAAAATACAGCTTTTAAAATGTTTTTGCAGCCTGCCATCAAAGCACGAAGGTGTATACAGCATGTATCTATGTGCATCGGAACAATGGAAGTACAGGGAGGAGGGCTATTCTGCCTAAACCTGTTTGCTTGGTTGGAGGTTAAATAAATGAACCTGCAAACACCACTCTGCAGCACACAGTCAGTTTTTCTCAGTGCCTCACATACAAGCTGTCTGTCCTCTTAACAAAACACTAGGAGGAGAAAAGGGGGAAAGCCAGAAATGGCTGTGGCTGTGTTAGGTGTTTAGAACCTGACTCTTCAAAAGTAAAATAGCTGAGCTGAGATATAGTGGGAGGCCCCATGACAATCTGGACAAAGCTGAGCTCTCAGCTCATCTTGACAGAATTTTTTAGTATATTTAAGAATATTCTGAAACCTCATTTCTCTCAATTCAGTGAAACTTTCTGGAAAGACAATATACCTGAACTACTGTTCATGAAAAACATAAGGACATAGTAATACGAACAATAGATACAGCAATAAGGTCGAATCAAGATGTAACATCCTCTTATTAGTCTAACTATGGCACAAACACTATCTTTGTGATAGTAGAGCACCAGAAAGAAAATGACCACAGGTTTGCTCTGCACAGTGCATATCTAGCACCTGGGGAAGGCAGTAAAATAATGCCTGCAGCACATTTTTATGTACTGCAACAATCTACTAGCCTGACCCTAGCAGGAAACATACCAGTGAGCCTTTGCCAAAAAGAGCTGGCATCAACAGGTGAACAGGAACTCTAAAGACAACTTCTCTATCAAGTTGACTTGATAGTACTGACTCTACCTCAGTACTAATGACAGAAAAGACTTTATTTTCACTATCTGCTTCGTTTAAGACTGCAATGTAAACATAATTTTAAAAACAATTTATCACCCCAAAATAGCAAGTGTATTTTTAGTTTAAAACCACAAGCACCAAAGTTGCAGGTCTCTAATGGTCAGACAAAAACAATCAGCATGTATACATGCAGCAAGTCCAGGCAGGAAGGAGAGAAGACTCTACACTAACATATGACACATTCCTGCCTATAAAAGAGAAATAGCCACCTCCTTTCTAAGGCCACTTTGAGATTGTTTTTCTTTAAATAAATCATATATGAGGATTAAAATATGGTGGGGGTTAACACTGAAGCATAAATAAATGAATCCGTAATAAATATTATGCAAGCCATATAAGATGCTACCCATTGCTAACATTTCTTTTTTTATATGCTGGACTGTATTTTCTCAGACAATATACTGACGGAAAATTCCCTGTGAAGATTCATGTGTGGTCCTCTGTGGTAATCTACCTCAGTATGATTCTAGGGGCTTAGGATAAAGGGTAGTCATTGGGTGGGGAAGAAACCTGCCTTTCAAGAAACACAATAAGCCAGCTCATTATTAGCACCAGAGTCCACTCCATACTGACTATAATTCTGGATTTCAGTGTGGATTAAAACTTAGCAATGTGGATGAGTGTGGTAGGTGCGGCACACAGGAGGCTTAGGCAGGAGGATCACTGTGAATTCATGACCAGCCTAGTGTAATAAGCTGGTGCACTTAGTTCTAAGGCAGACAGAACTACAAAGTAAGTCCTTATCTATAAATACAAAATAAATAGTTCTGCTATGTTAAGCAGAACTGAACCTAGTGAGACCACATTTCTCTTTTGAGACAATTTGAGTAGGTAGGAATGTTTAGTAAGCGGAGGGATTTCTGGACTTCACTACTTTGAAGTTAGTTGTATACCCCACTGTGTATGTAGTCTCTCACTGAACCCTGCAAACAACTACTGTCTTTTATTATCTACACTTTGAAATTAAGAAGTGTGCCCAATGTCACACACCACTAACAGAGTGAAAAACTGAACACACAGATGTTATGCAGCAAGATCTGTGCTTTTTCTCTCGTGCTTTTTTTTTTTTTTTTAAGGAAATACATAGTACTAGGGAAACGGTCATTCCACAGACTTAAGTAAAGGATTAGAGTATGCTAACAATGACAGCATAGAAGTCTTGTGACATCATTTAAAAAAAAAAAGAACATTCTTTATGCACTCTTTGACAACTTAAATAAATGGTGGTTGGAAGTGAATGGTTATCCACTTCTACACAGAAAATATTATAGATAAATCTAATGTCCTATCTTAGGCCAGGCCTCTGGCTCTGCCTGTTCTCGACCTTCCTTTCTTCTCCTTTAGATTTTGTCAAAGTCATTTAGCAAGTTAAGAGAAGGAAGAAAAAGAGATGATTTGTGTATCTACTGCAAACCGTATATGTCAGAATGGCAAAGCAAGTCAGAATACTTTATACGACACAATGTCTCAGGGTGGAGGGCAGATGATACAAGACATTGTTTAACTAACTTTGAGAAAGAAAATTATTAGAAGGGAAGAGGATGCCAACTTTCAGGGCCAGGTATCCCTGAAAGCTAAATGTGCTTTGTGTTTCCATCCTACAAAGAGAAAGATTTACAACAAGGGAAAGAGTAGTGTCTAGGTGAACACAGAGAACTACCGGTGCTCAAATATGCTGCATGCTCCACGTTGCCCAGGAATGTAGAAAAAAGTTGTCTATGACAAACCCAAAATTAGACAAAATGAATAAGCTGTAAGACATCAAAGTTGGTCAACAGGGCTGGAATGTTAAGAAAAGCAAAGCAAATCTTCCTGCCATTCAAAAAGAGAAATAACACCTGTCAAACATTAGCTCCAAGCTTACTCCTTAACCTTACCTAAGTTCACAAAGCTGATACATCAACACACGATCCAGAGAAACTCAAAACACCTTAAACAAAGACGCAACTGTGTCTGATACAAATCCCATTATATGATTAAAATGCTCCAGAATGGTATAATATACTAAGAACCTGTTTTCAGCTTCTCCGAACAAAAATTAAGGTTTTTAAGGCAACCGGTTAAGCCTGAGGGAATCAACACTGATAGCTATGACAAAAATCCCATGCGAGAACACAAAACCACAAGAGAAAAGGCTTTGTGTTTTCCTGATACCTTCAAAGAGGTAACACAAGGAGCAGAGCAAACATCTTTCAATATAAAAAATTTTGTTTAGAGCCAGGTGGTAATGGCACACATCTTTATAATCCCAGCATTCAGTTGGCAGAGGCAAGCAGATCTCTGTAAATTTTCCTAGTCTATAGGGAAAGTTTCAGAACCAAGGCTGCACAGAGAAACCCTGTCTCCAAACCCCCCCCCCCACACACACACACACAAAACAAAACAAAAAAAAAACATACCTGGAAAAAATTATTTTTAGTAGCATCTGTAATTTCAGTTCTACATAGAAATGGTTAGTTTTGTACAACAGGGTCAAGGAAAACACATCTTACCAAAATTAACACACTTTGACACACCAGAACCAGAAATCATAGATCTGATGTTAAAAAAAATTAAGTCATTTAAGAGACCTGTTCTTCTGAGGTGCTATAGACATGCTACATAAGGGTAAAGTAGAGGCATTAAAACCAATTTTAGATTGGATGTACTTTTATTTAAATATGACTCTAAATGTATCAGGTTTCTGATGGCTATTTTATTTCTGATTTTAGTCAACCATACAAAACACCCCGCCCCGCCCCATCCCCCCCAAAAAAAGCATTTTTAAAAGGCGACCATCTATTTTAGTTCCAGGACTCTATGATTCATGTCTAGGAACTAAAACTCAAAAATCTACCTCACAGTTAACTGTGCCTTTTTCTATTTTTATCAACAATTTGAAAAAACTATAAAACTGACATATACTCTTTTCACTTTAGTGGTATTTATGGTAAAGGGGAACGCAATGAGATTTGTTGAAATCTGGCAAATGGAAAATAGCAAGCATCCTTATATATATATCATAGCGCCTTTAAATTGCTGTGACAGAGTGGCCAGATGGTCAAAGGTCCAACACAGGAAAAATATCACATGGCATGTTTCTTGAACAGGACTAAGAGTACAAAAAAAACTAGCCTGACAAGATAAAACATAAGAAAATGAAGCTTATCACACATCCTTCATTAATTTCAAAACTACTAACAGTTAAGAAATTCTACATTTATTATGGTAGAATACAGTAATTCCTTCTAACATACATCTTATTCAAATTATAACAGGATCAAAAAGCTTCTCAAAATTTAATGAAGGTAAATGGGTTGGCCCAAGCCTTTAATCCCAGCACTGAAGAGGCAGAGGCAGGCAGATCTCTGTGAATTCAAGGCCATTCAATTCTACACGGTGAATTTTAGGACAACCAGGGTTATACAGTGAGACCCTGTCTCCAAAATAAAAACACGTATGTGTGTGCGCGTAAACACGCACAGAGATACTCTCTGAAGATTAAAGATTATTGAGTAAAATATATTCACCGATTCTTTTTCTTTATTCTATAAACCAAATCTAGACACAAATAACTAAAATTTATAAGGAACACAATTATTGGAAATCAAACACAACATGCAAGTAATTTCAAAATAAGCAATTAAATTTGAAAATAATTCTATTTTAGACAACATTTAATCCTGAATCTGAACAATAAGTCAATATAAATAGAACAGGTTAGTTAGTGGATACCAATAACTTGAAGTTACACTAAGCCAAGGAAAGCAGATCATTGAAACGTAGAAAAATTAAGCCGGGTGTTGGTGGCTCACGCCTTTAACCCCAACATTTGGGAGGCAGAGGCAGGCGGATCTCTGTGAGTTCAAGGTCAGCCTGGTCTATAAGAGCTAGTTCCAGGACAGCCTCCAAAGCCACAGAGAAACCCTGTCTCGGAAAAAAAAAAGTAGAAAAATTAAAAGAGTTAAAGCCCACTGCAAAATATTACATAAAAACAAAACTTTAACAATACCATGGAGTGGCATATGCAATCAAATGAAGTGTGTGACCTCTAAATCCCAAGGCACAGATAGCACAGTATAGAAAAGAGCTGTTACATAAATAAAACAAAACATAGATATGTATGTATGTGTATATACACACATGTACCTCCATCCTTCTTCTCCATTTCGTCCCTAATTAAAGGGGAAGTAAGTATCACCTTCAAAGTCAGTGTGGGCTCTTTTGTGTTCCGAATTACAATGGAAGCTTCACTTATACATTGTTCCACTTGGTATTTCTCTTCTGTCAGTTTCTGAAAGTCATCAAGATTCCAAAAACATTCAATCATATTAAAATCTCTAAGAGGGGACACTTATGCTAAGTTTGTGAATATTATTAACTATCAGTATCACCATGTCAAAAGAGTAAATGAGATCCACAACTGTTAACTAGTTCCTTACTTCAGGGATAACCTCTCTCAATGTAAACAAACCTAGTCTCCATTACTCATAAAAGGATCATAATGTCAACCATGCAGAAAACTATGAATAATACTTAAAACCATTTTTTATTCCATGTAAAGTGTCACCAGCAGCATTACAGCAGAATATAATTATTCTTTAAATTATTACTATAAATTATTATAGCTGGAAATGCTCTCCAAAATTATAGCACTGTTGACAAAACAATCTGAACAACTACTTGCCAAGGACTTATGACTATACAGATTCCTAAAGTAAATCAAGAAAGTATGAATGAAAAGATGTCTACTTATAGTCACATGAAAGAATGCATATAAACAGTTGCCTTGTATAATTATAATAGATCTCAGAAGTCACTCCACTGAGACTTATCATTATGAGATACTCCAAATGGCATCCACAGGGAAACTTACATTGCTTCCCCCAACCCCCCAGACATGGTTTCTCTGTGTAACAGCCTGAGCTGTCCTGGAACTAGCTGTGTAGACCAGGCTAGCCTGAAACTCAGAGATGCACATGAGTGCTGGGATTAAAGGTGTGTGCCACCACCACCCAGCACATCGCTTCTTTAAAAATACCTAAGAGACAAACATTCAACCCTGGGGCTTTCATAAAATAATCCAAATTGTGTATTAAATATTATTAGACATTAAATTAAATTGTAACTAAATAAATCATACAAGGCATTTCCTAAAAATGGACTGGTGGAAATAATAAAAAGAACTCATTTATAAAAAATATCATTTTAATATTAAATACTTCCCAAAAAATCAGAACAAGAAAACTTATTACCCTAATGTTGAACAGAAAAAGCCAAAGAAAGACTTCACCATGAATGGAAGAACCAGAAGTGAAATAAACAACCCCAAAAAACAAACAAATTAACAAAAAAAATTTCCATTCATTCCACCAATGGGGGGAGGGGAAACATTAAAGTTATCTATTAGAGATGAGTTGGCTATAGAGTACTTACCACATAAGCACAAAGACAAATCTGATCCCAAGACCCACATAAAACAATAAACAGAGCTGGAGAGCTGGCTCAGTGGTTAACAGCACCTGCTGCTCTTGCAGAGGACCAGGGTTCAGCTCCCAGCACCCATATGGTGGCTCACAGAGGACCTGATGCCCTCTTCTGGTTCCTCAGGCACCACACACATGGTTCACACAACACAAAATAAAAATAAATACATTTTTTAGAATAATAGGCACAGTTGCCTAGAAATCCTGACTGGGGAAATGGGTACAGATGGATCCCTGAGGCACAATGGCCAGCCATCCTGTCTATCCTCATTTAGGGAGTCTCAGGTCACACCAAGAGACTCTGGTGGACAGTGCTTTGAGCAAGAGGAACAAACCAAACAGTCCTCTGTTCTCCACATACAAGTGCACACATGCAGGCACGCGCACACGCACACGCACACAGATCACAGGGTAGCTATTTGACCTGGAGAGGTGGCTCAGTTGTTAAGAGCATTGGTTGTTCTCCCTGGGTTCAATCCCCAGCACCCACACAGCAGCTCACATTCCTCTAACTCCAGTTCAGGGGACCTGACACCCTTACCAAATAAATGCAGGCACAACACCAACACACATAAAATAAATTGTTTTTTTAAATTAAGGTATCTATTGTAAGTCAATCTAAAATTGTCAATTTTTAGACACATCCAAAGTTATAAACATAGTATTTGTTTGGACTAGACTGGCTTCAAAAGTTACTGGGTTTGTCATCCGCTGCCTCCTTTGTTCAAAAAAACTCTAAAAATCACCCTGAAAAAGAGTACGGAGAGAAAAAAATGTGTTTCCACGTCAATTATATTAAGGCAGTAAGTAAATAACAAAACTGTTCCTAAAGTATTCAGAAAGTAAGGTCCTATCATAGATTATTATTACACACACACACACTAAACTAGCAGAATAGCTGTGTATATGTATATGGCTTACTGTTAACATCAGTGGACAATTAAGATTAACACTTTCCAATGAGATGCAACTTCACCCAGATACAGAAAATTCATTGTATCATTCCAACCTATAATGACTATGTTAAATTGAAATACATGTCTCATAACATCCAACATTGGCCCTAAGTGTTCAAGCCTCTGTCACCTCTTCTAACATAACCCTTCAAAAAAACCTCAGAATACTTATGACTTTTTAGTCCTCTCTAGCCTAGAAAGCTAGAGATGGCTCAGAGGTTAAGAGCACTGGCTGCTCTTTCGGAGGTCCTGAGTTCAATTCCCAGGAAGCACATAGATGGTTCACAATCATCTATAATGAGATCTGGTGTCCTCTTCTGGCATGCAAGACATACATGCAGGCAGAAAACACGGTATACATAATAAAGTTTTTTGAAAAAGTATCATTATGAAATTATCTACCATTGCTTTGACTCTTTTTTTTTTCTCCTTTTTTTGGTTTTTCGAGACAGGGTACATAGGCTGTCCTCAAACTCAGAGATCCACCTGTCTCTGCCTTGCAAATGCTGGGATTAAAGGTGTTCACCACCACCACCCAGCTGGACCTTTTTAATTGTATCTCACCAACTATTCCAAGTGTTTTATAATAGTTTAAAACTAATGTCCTTATTTTGGTAAACATATCCTGAGTATAAGCCACCAGAAATGTGCTTTTTAAATATGGGTTCCTCATTGACCAAATCATGCTAGATTCTTTTTGATACCTATCCCTAACTTACCAATTCTTGTTAACAGTCATCAAGACCACAGTTTCTCAACTCTTTACAAACTCTCAAATGCAGTTAAACAGACTTACCTGAATCTGAATAGGAAGGTTGTCTTTGACTGTGTTTAGCAGGGTTTCCGTGGGTTTGTCTTTGCACATTAAAACCAGCTCCAGGTCCATATCATCTTTAATCAGCAAGCCTTTTGCAACTAAGCCAATCCTCATGACACCACACAATGTCCGGCCACCCTGATCCCTACAAAAAGCCTGTATTAGTATCTCTATAACCTATTTCCCAAGCCACAGTTAATCATCACTTGGCTTCCTGAATACCTATATAAGTAAACAATTATGTACACTCAAATATCCAAAAATCTACAAATTAAGTATCAGACTTAAGGCTCTCACATTTATTTAAAGTTACTTTTCCCTAAAAATTGAACAAGGATCATATGTCACACTATAGGTTTTTCAATTCATTATGATATCTCTATTACTCAAGAATCCCAAGAATATTGAAACCCCTCCAACAGTTTGTCTGTTTTTAAACTTCTGTATTTCTTAGCAGTAACTAAAGAACATATGAGAAAGACGGGGAAAATAGCTCAGTGGGTAAAGTGCTTGCCATACAGCATGATAACCCGAAATCTAATCCTCAGCACCCACAAAAAAGTTGAGTACAGGAACATTGAGGAAGAAGATGTGGTAACATTCTCTGGTAATTGATGGCCAATGAGAGACATTTTAAACCCTTAAAAGAATGTGTCACAAAGGAAGAGTGGGAAAGGCAGAGATAAAGAGAACCCACCATCAACCTGTGGTCTCAACATGTGAAGCACACACACCATGTACTCATGCATGCACATACACACACCATACCACTACCCTCACCACCACCCAAACACACATTATAAATAAACTTTTTGCTTTTTAAGTAGCATGTCAATGCCTGAACTTAAACTCAGAATAGTTGACCATAACACTTAGGCTCTTTCTTTAAGTTCTGTGGTTGCTTCTCAAGGAAACAGTTACAATTAGAGATGCCAGCAAGATACCTGAAGATTTGATTTGGCTGGATTGGAGGAGGTGGTGGTTTAGAAGCAAAGAATCACCAGTTAGTCAAAAGTCAGTGAAGTTGAGAATGAAATGAAGACAGTACACTGTGATGCCAACTAGACAGGAAGTTATAAATTAACTAGGCACTCAGTGCCTGAGCCATCATGAAGATTTAATAAAGACAAAGCAAGTCAAGATGAAGATGAGTACAAGCAACTGTTGGAATCTGTCAGTCACCTTGGATTGGTTTTGACTCTATAGAACTAAACTGGCCCTGTAGACCAGGCTAGTCTCAAACTCAAAGATCCACCTGCCTTTGCTTCCCCGCAACTGCTGGTATTAAAGGCATGTGCCACCACGACCTGGCTCATAAAGCTTTTTCTGATTACTACAAACAATATTCTATCTCATCCTCCTCTGTACTTTAATTTATCCAAAGGAAACTGAAGCAAAGATATGAAGGAAAATGGACGAGATATAGCTCAATGGTAGAGTACCTGCGTAGCATGCTCAAGTCCACTCCTTCCTAAGTAAAGGGAAAGAGGAAGCAAAGTCTGGAAGACAGACACAGAGACTACTTTGCCAACACACGCATGCACTCACGTTCTCAGAGTTATCTTCAAGTTAAAATTCATTAATGACTCTGAGTTAACTCTCTTCATGAGCAAATGTGAAATGGTGGAAATTTAATAAGTAAAATGTTTTTAAAAATGAGTAAATTCTAAGCATAAAAAAGAGAAACAGTAATAACAGACTAGCTGATTTATTGAAAGATAGCATGAAAAATAATCTGGAATAGTAGCTAGCACACAGTAAATGTAAGTAGCCATTGTTAGCTCACTTATTAAATTCTAAATCACAGCAATGGCATGTTTCATCTTATCATCCCACATATAGAAGACAGCATGATTGAGCAAAGAAACTAATTCCTAATTCAAAAGTCCTGAACTTAAATAATGAATTTGAGCCGGGCGTTGGTGGCGCACACCTTTAATCCCAGCACTTGGGAGGCAGAGGTAGGTGGATCTCTGTGAGTTCGAGGCCAGCCTGGTCTACAAGAGCTAGTTCCAGGACAGCCTCCAAAGCCACAGAGAAACCCTGTCTCGAAAAACCAAAAAAAAAAAAAAAATGAATTTGAATATAAGTTACTGAAAAACAAGCAAACCAGTATTATAATAAACTACTTAGAACTGGGAAAACAGTTCTAATATTGCCAGTCATATGAAATGAGACCTAGTGCCACTGATGTGACTGTGGCATCAGACTGTATACAGGCAAATGATAGATTCAAGGAAGAGAGCACAGAGAACAGCTCTGCCCGGTGTCACTGATCGTCATGCTCTTTGGAGCAATTATGATAGACCAGGAACCCACATATGGGAATCCATGGAACACAGCACTAAAAAAGACACAGTGGCCCCTGGTTTACAGAGAGTAACAAACATCTATCTGTACTCGTTGAGTTCCACCACAAGGGGGAAAAAAATCATAGACAAGCACTCAACCTGGGATTTCTCCACAAATGCAAAGACTTTACACAGACAAAGAGGAGTTTCCAAACATAAAGTTGTATTTTAAAGACTAAATGAAAGTGCGGAGCATATATTCTCTTAAAAACATTTAATTAAAGCATAGTAATTTCATCTAACTAAGCAAAACGTCTTAATTTTTTCTATAGCTATGCCAATCTCAAAAAAAATTAGAAGATTCATTTAAAAGGAACAAATTCCCATGAAATATATACTCAAAAATAATAAAGAGTAGGAAGGGGCATGTTGTGTATAAAATTTTTTTTAATTTTGAAAAAGCAGTATCAATACTACAATTTAAATCTGGAAACTATTAATGACTTAACTTGCATATGAACTATAATATATACAAAGAGAAGCAACTATGTGGGTCCCTCGATAAGCTAACCATTGGAAAATATCAATGAGTACCAAATTAAAGAATTACCATTTTAAACATTCATATTTGAGGAAAAACTAGATTACTTACAAGAACCTACAAACAGAGACATAATCCAGTGTGCCAGTTACATGGAACAGTCAGTTGCTATACTCTGCAGCATGAAGCTCACAGCTTATCTTTTCACTAAAGAGGAAAAGGCTGCACTATTTTCAGTACAGACCATCCACCCACCCACCAACCCTCTCCTACTCTTCCCTGTCTACTTGCCACAGTGATGGAAACAGAACTGAAATCTGAGAGGACATTCTTACTTTTCACTTACATAAGCCATGGCTAAAGTTGTATTTTTAAACCCATAAATATGGTATAATCAATCAAATAAACTTCATTGCCTACAGTAGGTATAGACTTACTCTAATCACAGCAACAGTACTCAAAACAGTATCTCCGAACTATCATGACATAAAACCTCATGATCTGACTGCAGGCAGCACTGTGGTTTCATCTTATGGGTTGCCACTATTGCTACATTACAACACTTCTCATGTAACTATTAGAAGGCCAGGCTTCCATTAGTCCTTCCTTCTACAAATAACACAAAATGAACATCAACACTGTGTAACAGATACTGATAAGTTCTGTGAATTAACAAGGTAAATATAGTTAATGCTGCTAGCATATTTTCCTATATCTTCTATGCCATGATTTCAAAATGCGTGACAGAAACAGTATGTTTTTTTGTTTTGTTTTGAGACAGCCCTGGATGTATTGAAGTTCACTCTGTAGACCAGGCTGGTTTCAAACTCACAGAGATCAGTCTGTCTCTACCTCCAGAGTACTGGGACTAAAGGTGTGTGCCATGGCATTCAGCTAGAAATAGTATTTTTATGACTTTCTCAAAATAGAAAACATTAGTATTTACTTTAGGACTTGGGAGGCTAAACCAACACAGCAAATGATATATCATGAAGGCCTGTAAGGACTATCTTCTCTTTCTGATTCTACTTATTACTCTTCCTCCCTTTCCTACAAAATGTTACTCAGCAAAAAAAAAAAAAAAAAAAAAAACACCAGGAGATATTTACTAGCTTGTTTATGCCATATACGATAAAATTCAAAGATCAGCAAGCACATCACCAACTCAATCCAGAAGGCCCACACGCTTTTCTAAGCAGAGCTTGACAAAAGCTCCTCAACACTCACTTGGAATAGTTTTCCACAGCCTCATCTTTCTTTACTTCTGTCTCCCCCTCAGTTTTTGGGCCTTTATTTGTTTCGTCCAGCCAATCGGAGACATGTTTAAGAGCACATTCAACAGTAGACACCATATTTTGAACAGCTTCAAGTTCCTCTGGAGATGGATAGATTGTTGAATGTTTCACCATAACATGGCGATCGTCATTGGCAAAAGATCTAATAGATCTCTGTCAGAAGGAGGGGGAAAAAAACTTTAACAAAAGGAATGTTACCTTGAAAGTTTAACATAAGTGTTTTAAGTCAACATAGCACCAACTGACAACCCTTGTAAATCAGTTAATGTTCAAACAATAAAAATATGTTCCCAAATGGGAAGTAAAGTCCTACTTTATTAAACCACACCCAAAACAATAGGAGTTATTTCCCTCGTGTGACGAGAGGGCTCATATCAGTCACACTGAGTACTGTACACACTTGGTCTTTATGCTGAGCCTGTGCTTTCTGATTACCCCTTCCCAAAACAAAACAAAAAAATCATCCATACTGTATGACATTGTAACTTCAAGAAGCTCTAGAAATGCTAGGCAGTGGTGGTGCACACTTTTAATATCAGCACCCGGGAGGCAGAGGCAGGAGGATCTCTGTCAGTTCGAGGCCAGCCTGGTCTACAGAGTGAGTTCCAGGACAGCCAGAACTATTACACAGAGAATCTCTGTCTCAAAAACAAACAAAAAAATTTAAGGACCAAGACACCAGAGATAATTACCTCATCTAACATCATGATCAAGCTTCTTTAACATTCACTCCTTAGTATATCCAACAATTGATTCTTTTAAAACCATATAAAAGAGGTGGGTACCTTTCAAGTTAAAACATTCATGTTTACAAGTTACTTAATTTTCATGAGAAATCTGCACTTCATGTGAAAGTCTAGACAGAAATTAAAGTTCAAGATTACTAAGCTATAGTGATTTGTTAATGCCAGTTTTATTATATTATTTTAAGCATTCTTACTCTTTGTATTTTGTGAGTTATGGCATAGAGTAGCTTGAACTCCAAATGTGGCTTCTAATCTTTTTTTTTAAGTTTCTTGAGACAGGGTCTCTCTGTGTAACCACCATGGCTATCTTAGAACTCACCCTGGACTCAAACTCACAGAGATCCCCTGCCTCTTCCTTCTGAGAGCTGGGATTAAAGATGTGTGCCACCACCACTCAGTTCTAATCTTTTCTTTAAGTTTATTATTAATCTCATATCTGTGTGGGTGCTTTGCCACACAGCGTGTATTACATTGGACACATGCAATACCCATGAAAGCCAGAAGAGGGCATCGGATTCTACAGAACTGGAGTTACAAATAGTTGTGAACTATCCTGTGCTTGTTGAGAATTCCAATCCAGGTTCATTGTAGGAAATGCTTTCAACCTCTGAGCCACCTCCCTAGCTCTGTCTAATCTTTTCTAAATAGTAGAAAAGTCTGACAGCCTGAGTTTGGTCCATGGGACCCATACAGTAGAAAGGAGAGACCCAACTTCTGTAAGCTGTCTCTGACCTTCATACATACTTGTCAAAACAGTAGAGCAACCACATTTATCCTAGGCACTGAACCCAAGATACCTGTTCACTATCTACCCTTACTGTTAACATTCCCAATTATATATTATATAATCTTTTATAATTAAAAAAAATGAAAGAAATACCGGTCATCACCCACCATGGTTTCCTTTGATATTTTAGCTTCTTTTTCCGATCCTTTTCTCTCTTTCTTGTCGTCTTCACTAGACACTGTTTTGTGTGACAGTACCTCCTCATATGCCTGAATCCCCTGACTGCTCAGTGTCAAATATAATCAAAGATGTCTAAAAATTTTTCTCTGGATTACACCTGCAAGAAAAAAGAAAAACAACTTTTCAACTTGTCTACAATTAGTTTCAAACCTAAATGTGGAGCCCATAAACATGATCCATGTTGATTTCTGACAGGCACAGGAGGAGAAATCTTGGCTCAAGAAGAAGAGAACAAGAGAGAAAGAAAAGGACACACTTGGGGCAAGAAGCAAGGCAGTCACCAGTAAGACATGAAAATCAATGACAGTAAGGTATACAGAAGGAAGAAAAGCTAAAAGCCCTGAGGCAAAAGATTAAAAAAAGAAACAGGTTAATTAAGTTAAAAGAGCTAGCCAGAAACCAGCCTAAGTCAAGCTGAATACTCCTAACTAATAGTAAGTCTCCATGTCATGACTTGGGAGCTGGCCGGGGGCCCAAACAAGAAAGCCTGGTGCATGCATGGGTGCTAGGAATTGAACACAGCTCCTCTACTTGCTCTTAACCACGATGTCATCTCTTGAGCCCCCCCTTTTTTTTTTAATAATTACATTATCTCAAACAAAACTTGCCTGGATCCAGAAAAACCAACCTTCCTAGTAGCTACAGTATGACAACTGGATCCCTAAGTATATTTGCAAAGCAGGCAGACTCACTAAAGAGTCACCACCTGAAAAGGCAATACTGCTACTAATAGTAGCAGTGCTTCAACTAACCATCAGAATTACAAAATTACCACTTTGTTCAGACCCACAAGAAAACTCAATACATAAAGCATCATAATATACCACTGTTTTTACCATGATACTTTCCCACTTAATACTGCCATTACAATGACAGTATATGTTGGCATAATCTTTATCCTTTGTTTTTAGGATTCACATTCAGAATACTTTTTCTGGTTCTGTTTCTTAACTCCTTAAAAAGACAGGGATGGGGACGACACAGGATGGGAACGACACACACACTCAAGCATCCCCTTGATCTATATATATATTCATGACCCAGACTTGAAACTCTACTACATTTTGGCTTCATTTCTTCATTACTCCTGGATATCCATCCACTCTCCATTCTCTTGGATTATCTGTCAGAAACCTTAATAATCATTCTACTACCCATATTACTTCATGAGATTTTATTTTACTACAGATAAGAAAAAACAATAAATTCTGAGTGTGGTTGAAATATGCCCTAGTGGTTGAAATATGCCCTAGCTATATAAATAAACAAGGGCTAGATCAAGACAAATAGATCCCAGGCTTTAGCAATGCAGCTATCAGAATAAGAAAGCCACAGACAATGCAAAAGAAATAGCTTCCTCTTTATCTAAATAGTAGTCTGGAAGTTTGCTTCAAATATGGAAACCCTGTCCGGTGGTGTAATATGGTTTACGATTTATTAAAACCATTGGAGATCAAAATAGCAAAGCAGACACACTAGTTAGCCACAGAGGTCAGGCAGTGGTGGCACACACCTTTAATCCAAGGATTTAGGAGACACAGACAGATGGATCTCTGTGAGTTCAAGGACACCCAGGGCTACAGGACACAGACTCAGTCTAAAAGAGTAACAAAGCCCATGCCTTTAATTGTAGGACTCAGGAGAGGTATTTAAGACAGGAACAGGGTCTCAGAGCTGGCATTCATTTTCCAGCCACACTCAGGATAGGAGGAGACTGATTCTCTCCATTCGAGATGAGGAGAAGCAGCAGTCTGAGGTTTGGAGGAAACAGGATCACCATTTCAGTCAGAAGGTAAAAGCTAATGATTGGCTGCTTTGCTTCTCTGAGCTTCAGCATAAGTTTGAACCCCATTATCAGTTTCTGGGTCTTTTATTTTTCGTGTGACACTCTCCATACTACTACCAGTAACAGGTTCTTAATATTATAGTTGGCCTGTTAAAGAAATTCTTTTTGAACTTTGGAAATTTAACTCCACTTAATATTTACAAGAAAATGTAGGCTGACATCAAACGGCACTCAGCTATGACCTACAAACACGACTTATTCCTATCTTACAACCGATTTCCCCTAAATGATTTACAAAAATCTCCCTGAAATGAATGAAATTTTGATAGACAGACAGACACACACACACACACACACACAGAGAGAGAGAGAGAGAGAGAGAGAGAGAGAGAGAGAGAGAGAGAGAGAGAGAGACGATAGGTTCAAATAAAAGTGTGATTACTGAACGTAGCACATGAAGAAGAGAATGTGCAAGTACTAAACAATTTCTAGGAAAGAAGTATCTCAAAAATGTCCCTTTCACTAAGACTATAACATCCATATAAAATCCAAGTAGTCTTCAGCACCTCCCATTCTCAACACTATTTTATTCTACAGGAGTCAGCCACTCATTATGTGGCTGTGAATCCAGTAGCGAAAAAGATTGCTCTATGTTCAGTAAGAACTGAAAGTCTACAGGAGAGATGACTCAGCCAATAAGCATATCAAAAACTCAAAAGTCAATTAACTTTACTCTGTAAAAGGGTGAAGCTATTAGGCCAGCAAAATGAAGGAAGACCAATGAAAGCAAACAAATCAAGAACAACACGACAAGGAAACTTGTGATGTTTCAATGGAACCCTGACCACTGATTTTCGTCAAGGTTAACACAGAGAGCAACAATTCTGTGCACATAAGAACCTTTGACAACTTCACAGTGTGACAATATACATAATAACTCAAAATAAAAGCAGTGTCTACAGATCACATTGGGGAGGGGGCTATAAATGAACTTATCTCATTCAACTTCACAGTTTACAAATGAAACAGAATAAAAAATCAAGGTTGCACTACTAGCCAGACACAAGTCATATACAACATGGCATATCTTACAGGCATGTCCAACATGGGTCACATGCAGCCAATGACAGCTACAATTGCAGTCCAACACATAATCATAAACTTGCTTAAAATACTAAATTTTGTGAATTTTTCATAACTCAACTGTGTGGTTTTATTTTTAAGCATGAACTTTGTAAATGACAACATGTCACAATGTCAAAAGCTTGGGCACAATTGATAAAATCTAAATCACAGCCCAAGATTTTTGCCTCACTTATCAATCTGATTTTAATGGGGGAAAAGGGGAAAACAGGGTTAGGAGGAATGAGGCAGCCAAAGGATCTGGGTTCAATTCCCAGCACCCACATAGCAGGTCATAACCATCTACAACTTTATAGCTCCAGGGGAATCTGATGCACTCTTCTGGCTTCCATGGGCACTACTCCTGATCATGGCATGAAAGCAAAACATCACACACATAAAGTAATTTTTAAAATACTTTAAGTCAAGTTGTATTTTGTACAATCTAAACAACCAGGAAGAAACCAAGAAATATTTTTCAGAGAGTTTATCTTTTAAAAAGTCAGTTTAGTGGTTTAAAGTCTAGTCCTGAAATTAAAAACATAAAACATAAAAACAGCTGCATCCAGTGAAGCAGTGCACTCCAATAACCCAGCATGAGGAGACTCATAGGTTTAAGTTGTGTGTGCAAGCATATATGTGTCCACACGCATGGGGAAGCCAAGGGACAAATGTCCTTCCTCAGATACTGTCCATGTCAACGGTTTTTGTTGTTGTTGTTTGTGGTTTTGGTTTTTCTTTCTATTTTTTCCCCAATTTGGAAATAGGGTCTTGGCCATGGGCTCACTGATTAAATTGGCCAGCTGGCCATCAAACTCAATCCCCAGGACCCACACCGTAAAAGAAGAGAAGCAATTCCCACAAGCTGTGCACACATAAACAAGGTGGGCTGTGGTGACACACGCCTTTGATCCCAGCACTTGGGAGGCAGTGGATCTCAGTGTTCGAGGTCAGCCTGGTCTACAGAAAAAGTTCCAAGACAGGCTACACAGAGAAACCCTGTCTCAAAACCTATTCTCACTGTCCCAAGATAGTATTTAATGACTCAACCCTATTCTTGTCATGTATCTTTCAATTTTAATAACCACAAAAGGAGGTTCTAAAAGTCTGGCGTGTTACTTTATATTCTTGTCATCTACAGATCTCCTTTCCTTTCCTGTTTTAGATAACTACTCCCCGCCAGGCCAGGACTTATCATCTTGTAACCTGGCTACCAGTTCTTTCACAGTTCTTCCTGCTTTTCAGACCCTCACTTCCATCTGTAACTTATTCAAATTTACAATCCACCATTTGCAATTCACATCAGCAGTTCCTTTCCTCGCCTCACACAGCAGCAGCCCTGGTTAAATCCTCTCAGCTAGCAGGCCAGTAACTGTGGGCAGCTGAAAGTGAGAGGGGCAGGGGTATCAGCAGCAAGCTTCTGTATGTCTTTCTCTTATTGGTTGATGAATAAAACACTGATTGGCCAACAGCCAGGCAAGGAAGCATAGGCGGGTCTACCAGACCAAGAGAAAGCTGGGGAGAGGAAGGCAGGAGGAGACTTCTAAGAGACACCATGTTGAGACCGGGAAGATAAGAATGCACCAGGCATTCTGGTAGAAGACCATGTAGAAATACATAGATTAGTAGTTATGGGTTAATAATTAAGAGAGAGCCGGCCGGGAAGAAGCCCTAGCTATTGGCCAACACTTTAATAATTAATATAGCGTCTGTGTGGTGAAGGACATCGAGACCTGGAGGGACTGAAACTTTCTTCAAAACTAATGAATGGCCTTTTTATCTATCTCAGCTTTAAACTTCAAGGACTCACAAGGAAGAGCTCCCACAAACAAAGGTGGTGCCCCCTCCTCTGCATTTAAAATGCTAAATTTGTGGCTGGAAAGATGGTTTCAAGCACTTGCCCTTCTGATCCCAGCACTTGCTTAAGGGGTTAATCCCCACCTGTAACTCCAGCCCCACCCACAGAACTCCACACCCTCTTCTGGCCTCCACTGGCACACACATAAACACACTTTTTTTTACAAGGAAAATGCTGTTTCCTATTGTGATGTCCCAGCATTTGGAAAAACAAAATCCCTGGTAAAGTTACCAGCAACCTGGGCTCTAGGTATGGTCCAGTGTTCAAGGACTGCCCCAACTAAGAGGCAAATAAGAACCCTACTGAGAAAATAGAAATATTCAGCTCTTTC